GCCAGTCACTCCCGTCCTCACAGTGCCAGTGACACAGGAGCTAACGGTCAGTCCTGGAACCTCGGGTGTCATTGGCACTGTGGTCGGGTCGACTGAGGGCATCACGCAACGACCGCTATCTTCGGGGGGCGGATCGGACATCAGCGAGAACACGCTGCAAGTTCCACAGAGAGCCGAAGAGGGAACGCCGCAGAGGGCGTCGCTACGGCAGCGGCTGTCGAACGCCTTTCGGCGATCGCGTCCGAACACGTACCACGTCGGCGACCCGACCGCCAGCAGCAGCGACGAGAAAGCCGCAAACTCTCACCACAAACCCGGCGAGCGAAGTTCGCTTCGAAAGAAACTCGGCGGTTCGATCTTCAAGCCGAAACCGAAGGCGTCCTACACGCTACCGCATGGTGGCGACGACAGCGACGCCGCCGCGGGAAACCTCGGCGAGTCGAGCACCGGCCATCTTGTACAGAGCAAGTCGTCGAAGACGAACACGAGCCTGAGCGAGTCCGAGGCGAGCCCGCGGTTAGAGAAGCCGCAAGCTGACGTCGGCGCGCAGAAGCGCTACTCACTGCGCAGTAGTCTCGAGCGCATGTTCCGCAAGCGCAAGCCGGACTCGCAAGACGAACAGCCGACGACGACGACGTCGCTGCAGCACGTCGACGTGTCGCCGGCGGCCAGCGACGTGAGCGTAGCGCCGAGCGCGAGAGTCGAGAACAACCGCGTGCCGAGAGTCGTCATCAACGAACCGGACGTCGGCGAGTTCGTCGGCGACCTGCAGGAGATGAAGTCGAGTAGCTTGCCGACGCCGCTGCAGCCGCCGCACGAGCAGTCACCGAGTCTACCGGCGCACCAGAGCCGCGTCGGCTACCGGCCACGACTCGACTATCTCTACATGACGAAGCCGCCGCCGCCGTTGAAACCGAAAGTGCTGCATTACGAAACTGGATCGAGTCGACCGGAGAGTCCGTCTAGTCCGACGTCGGACAAGAGCAATTCGCTAGAGAAGGATAACAGAGGGCATAAATCGGCGCTGTCGAAAGAGACGAAACGGCGGAAATCCGGAAGTTTAGAATCGCGTTTTGGTAGAGCCGGTCTAAAAAGTCACCACGGTTCATATTCGCCCGTTTTGTCAGCGAAGAAGTTCATGCCAGACCAAGACCTCACCGTAGCTCAAAAGCACGGCAGTCTTGGTAAGCACAGCAGGAAGGCACATTCCCAGATGTACTGCGGACATCCAGGCATCTTCAAACCGAGAGAACCGAGCGTGCTTGTGTCGTATTACAGTGCAAGTGCCGTCGCCTCAAAAGTTCCTCTTCAACAGCTGACCCATAATTACGACTCGGTGGAAAGTGAGAACGATCCGTACCTCTACCCACCACACATAGACATCGGGCCTTATAAATATGAATCATTGTCCAGAAAGTCAGACCCGCTCTCAAACCTCCGGTGGAAGCGAGCTGGCTACTTCATTGAAACGAGAACAGTGGGCACACAGTGCCCAGACAAGGAGAATGTGATGTTTTACATTGGTTCGACCGAACATCAGTCACTATCTGATAGCTCCTCAAAGAGCCCTGCATCGGGCTCCGACCACGAACAAAACAAGGGTAAGCCAGACTCAACAGAGAGTAAACCTGCCGAACAGAAGACAGAGGCAGGCATAGAACCCCAACAGAAGTTCTCCAACTGTAACATGTGCCAAGCCATTCAGCGACTGTGCGAGCTTTGCAAGCAACGCAAAGCAGTCGAGAAGGAGATAAGCCAGATCTACAAAAAGATCCAAAATTCGAAACTTAGCAGTAAAACGAAGCAGCAGAAGCAGCGGGCGACGCCGTACGACACATTCCTTAGCGGCCAACACAATCGCTACGGCGATCCGTTCCGATACAAGCTACCTCAGCAGCGACACAACGCGTCATTCTTCAATAAACTCTCGGAGAAGTTGAAAGCAGAGACAATCGCTAAACAGATGCAGACAGCAGAGACGCAGCTACAAATGCAGTCGGACTCTGGTAGACACGACCCGAGTGATCGCGCACAGCAGGCTGTGAAGCTGGACAAATGTGAGTCTGTCGATGCCAACGATAATGTGTGCGATAGGCTGCTGTCTGCCTCCCCGAAACAACACAAGGAACAACTCACGGAACAAGAGCATGCCGCAATCGAGTCCTACCTCAGCGAGCTGAAAATGACAGAGGCAGAGCAAACACAGCAGGTTGCTATGGCAATGGCAGCGTTGAACAACAGAAAAACCGAGAAGATGGTCGGCACGAAGGCAAGACAGGAGCGACTCCGACACATCGAACACATTGAGACGGAAAAACCCTCACTGAAATCGGTAATAAAAAAAGAGGAAAAGAAGGAGCATATAAAACGAGAACGATCTCGAAGCCCCCACGTGCCAATGTCGAAATCCATCCCCGGTCAAAACATCCACCAGGAGATGATGCTAGACGAGATGAGACCAATCGAGAGCACCATACCAAGTGGTCAATATTTGCCTCACTCTAGAACTGTGCTAACCTCTTCTACGTTAGCGCACGACACGAGAGCGCACACAGTACTCCCAACAACGCAGGGGTACTTGTACACGCAACGGCATCCGATGGCCCACATGCACACAACAGCGCACAGCGGCAGCGTAAACTCGCCGATGGTTGCCGATCACATGCACCATCACCACTATCAGGCGCCACCAAGGGTGCCACCCGTAACTACGCCGAAATCCGTACTGCATAAACCTCTAGTGCATACGCCACTAGCCTACGCAGAAGGCGATGTGCAATACGCCACGAAATCTACAGCCGTGAGCATCATAGAGCACATTCCACACGAAGCCGGCCAGTACCGGCAACACCCGTCTGAGACTCACAGTCAGCATTTCGTGTACCCCGAAGTAAGACACGCCCAGACGGCCACATCGTCCGATCAGGTGCAGTACGCGATCCCGCGCACGAGAAGTCCGCAGTTGGTGTCGCAAGCAGAAATACAGAGATTGTTGTACGATTGGCACCAGATGACGCACAGAGACCACGCGGTTGCTACGGTGACTGCTCACGATTCGAACGTGCCCGACAGTGCAATCGATAGCCACGCTGGTAATTACAGTTTAGGCATTCATTATACCGATGAAATTGACGAGGGCCGACCATATAGAGAGGTCATTCATTCAGATATGAATGATCCAGACCACTCCCACCAGCAATATGTTCAACAAACGTATAGAAACTATCCTCATCTACAGAACAACGGTGGTCAGCACATTGAACTATCGTCATTACAATATGAAACGCAGGTAGCACCGTACAATCCATATCAAGGTATTCCTCCAAGGCAACAACAAAGAAGTCCCCCCGTGCGATCACACATGGAAGCATACAATGAGCCGCATCAGGATGATCGTTGTAGGCCCGAAGTAAGAGTGAAGGTACATCCGCCTATGTTGCAACACGCAGATGATAACCGCGGTACACCGCCCATCCCACGCCACCGCGTGGATCATTATGCGTGCACACCGCAGACACCTACACACATGCAACAGCAGAGACAGGCAACTGCGGACACTCTGCAACAACGAGAAATGCGCGGCTGTTACACGCAAGCCGTGTTGGATTCTCCTATGTGCGCAGCGGAGAGCGAGAAACACGCATTACCCGGGTCTCCTCGAAACCCACCTCAGTACGGCGCCGTTCCAGCAGTGGTTGACTCTCGTAAGCCGCCGCCATTAGATCTGCGTGTACTTCAGCAGCATCACCACCAACATCACCCTCCTCAAGAACGATCGCCAAAGCCAGCTGGGCAGCACGGGACAAAAGAGAGGATTCTTCTTACCGAGAGCCTCGTGAAGAAACTAAATGGTTCTCAGGGGAAAAGAGCCAACCACACACCGCCACCAATATCGCCAGGCACAGAGACAAGTCTGTCGGTATCTATTTCGCTTTCACCTCCCGATTCTAAACGATCGTCCACAATGTCGCCAGATTCGAAAAGATCGTCTGCGTTGTTGTCAGATCATAAAGGGTCACTGTCACCCGCCGACACAAAAAGGTCGTCAAGTAAGTCACCGCTAGGGAGCGCGCCGAGGTCTCCATTTGAAGAGATTGCACATCAGTCCGCACACTTGCCTCCGGACAGTCTCATATCGAGGCTAATTCAAACCACGCAGATGTCGGCGACCTTATCACCGGTTGGCATAAAACGATCACTCAGTAAATCTCCTACAGAACCTTTGCCGAGGCCGCCAATGTCGGACGTAATGCACCAGTCAACACAGCTGTCAACTGACGCGGTATCGTTGCAGCCAGTAACCTCGTCACTTTTTACCATGCACTCGTCCACATCAGAGCACGGCAACGGTCAACCGCTAATGTGTGAAATCATTGACGAAAACCAAAGCCACCAGCGCATCTCACCAGATAGTCAAGGCGGCGAAACTAAGCACACTCAGGCAGATGACTGGACAACGGAGGACGTAGCCGCTAGATCTTCACCTATCACGAAGGCATCTCAGGAAACAAAAAGTAAAAAGTCTACAAAACGACGCACGCCGACTCCGGAGCAAGCTACAGCCGAACCGATTATGAAACGAATTAACGACAATTTCACTCTCACACTTCACAAGAAAATAAAACTGGACACCGACGGGCCAAACAGTGAAGCAGATATCATAACCGACGAAAGACCAGCACCGGAGACCGTCTCCACGCAATCCGTGCAAGCCATCAGCATACCGGACACCGTCATGACCGACAGCGTGACTAGTCAAGTTCACAGTGACGTCATGGACGATGACATCATGACCAACAGCACCGGGACGTTGATCATCAAGAGAAACATCGACGACGCGCACGGCGGTCTTCAACTCTACTCCCGATCCGGAAGCGGAACTCTCACGTGCGATAGCAGCGTGTCAATGTCAGAATCCATGACGGAATCAATGGAACGGCAGTGCACATCTCCCACACAAGATACCCGCAACGAGATCTACCAGATCACGTCAGCAAGTGACATTCCGAATCGCAGCTGTTCGCTCTATACGGACGCAGCCGCGTCAATACAAGCATCACCGACACAAATACAAGCAGCAGAAGCACTACCAGCATACTCCGAGGCAGGCCTTCCTGGATACTCTGAGAGCTTACTATTGCAGCAAATGCAGCAGGGATCGAGAACGAATGTCCCATCAACGCATAGCCAGTACGGAGCGACTCCAGGCAGTGCTGCCCCGGTTATAAATGTCGTTGAGGCAAGCACACCGCAGGCTGTAAGACCAAAGAATTCGCAGTCAGTGCGGCCAAAAACAGCGTCTGCGGAAATAGTAAAAGTTGGTCAGATACCTGTAATAACTGTGGCGAGTAGCAGCCCACTAAATCACAGTCCACCTCAGACGGTAGAACTTAAAAATTTGGACGGCCAGACAACATCTAGTCCAGCAAAGTCTTCGAAACATCTGTCAAAGGGGCAAGTAACAGTGCCACCTAGTGATGAGAAAAGGACAGCGCCATCTAGTGTTCAGCAACTAGAGAGAGACCTGTCCACGAAAGTAGCATCTGAAGGGGCAGTGGCCGGCGTTGAAACCTGTGAGTTACGTATAATTAACACGATAGTAATCGTGATCCGGCATCGGATAAGTTATCTTATATTTATTTTACATACAATCAATTGTCATTTAATTTAATGTCATTTTATGATGTTTGAAGCCCCAAAAACGTGACATTTGATATAATATTAATTAAGTATTGTCCATGCACGCAGCCACCTACGCACCCAAGCAAGCACGCACGCCCGCACGTACGCATGCACGCACCCACGCACGCACGCACACACGCACGCACGCACACCTGTATGCATTACATTGTGTTGTCACTGATCTTCATATACCAACTTAGTATATCGAGATCAGTCGGTGCTTGCCTATACAACTATTACGCACTTGTTATAGACGTGTACGCTGGGCCATACCTGTCCTCAACGTGGATATATAACTCAGATGCTAGCAAGCTGCAGCTCGCCTCTGGCACTCATGATAATGGTAAGATCAAGATCGCATAACTTTACTGTCAACAACCATCTAGGTGCAGGGAAGTACGCGATATACGGGATGACTGTACATAAAAATGTAATAGAGCGTAAAGTTACGCTGCGTGGTATATAACCTGTTTAGTGTGACTAGATGTAATGGCAAATACTATAGGTTGAATGGATTCAGGCCACCCACTGGAGTGGTTGACTGGAAGATTAAATTGTCATTTTGCCCTTCATCACTTCTATTTATTTCGTTTCATTTGTTTTAATTGTATCAGCATGGTCACTTGTTTCACACTAATATGTTAGCTCCAAAACGTAATTCAGAAGTATAAATAAAGTAAATTGAATTGAATTAAATTGAATCGATGTTGCGTGTAGATGCGAGTCATGATGTGGTCGTTGCTATTGGCGCAGGCACGCCAGGCGATTCAGCTGCAGCAGCAGATAGTCGAAGACTTTCCCAAGATTCTACAGCCTCGGAGAAGGAGTTTCGGGAGCGCTACACCGCCCTCAGAAAGGAGATGCTGCACCAACGACCAAACATTGTTTACCAACGCCCAGAGAAGTGCTCTTACAGTAAGATTATTCCAAATGTAGCACAGACACTCCTCATTTCATCAGGAGTCTATCAATGCTATATTGATAGACTCCTGATTTCATGTTGAATACTAATTTATTAATATAATACACGCTCATTATATATTTTAATAAACAACTAGCAATTCTTACAGGCAATTGTCACAAGGGTATAGTTTTTGGAATTAAGTCCAGACTAGTTATTGCCGCGTGGTATAGAAGGTTGTGCTTTTACCCGGTTACCTTAATTCTGTAGGCCACGACAAGACTGTGCTGGTTCAAAAAAAGAAAAATGAATATGGTTTCCGAATCCATGGCAGTCATCCGGTTATTGTTGCTGAAGTTGACAAAGGCAAGTTAATTAAAAAAAATACCCCCATTGCTCTTCTTGTTTCACAATCTTTAAACTCTGTAACACCGGAGTCACGAGTTCATGAGGGGGGGCTCGTTGGTGTCCCCACGATTGCACTCAGAGCTAATATATATTCCCTGCAAATTTGAAAACTGAATACGCGATAATTTAGAACGCGATGGCCTTCATGATATATATATATAATATATATATATATATAGGCTTCAACGAACCACGTGTGATAACAACAAATCTAGTTGTAAATTATCTTGTTGAAAACCAAAAAAGCACTAATAAGTTATTATTCCATTAGGCGGTGCAGCAGAACAGGCGGGACTAGGAGTGGGCGATGCCATATTGTCCTTGAACGGGGTCAACGTGCTAGAGATGTCGCACAGAGATGTTGTCCAGTTGGCCATCAAAGGTAGGAAGTTATGAGCAACTCAACGTATATTAACAATGGGAACGACAAGATAATATCAGGAGTAAATAATAGTGCAGCGTTGATTATGGGTGTTGCTATCCCCCGGGCGTGGAGGGACAGTCACGTGATACTGTCGACGTATATACTTCAAAGTCCAAATCTTCCACACAAAGATTCCACAGTCATACCTCCGTACTAGACATGGCCTTATATTCCTAACCCTAACCGTAACCCTAACCCTGATCCTAACCCTAATCCTAACACTAGTGCTGCCACATTGCGGTACTGTCCCTCCACGCCCGGGGATAGCATTTCCCGTTGATTATAGTCTCTACCGCTAGCAACGGTCATGATATCATTAGTAGATATAATCCATTAATAACATATGCCAATAATTACCAATTTAATGTCAGCACACCCCTTTCATCATTCTAAAATATAACTGAACTTGCAAAACGCACTTACATTTTCAGGACCAGACCCACTGGTGCTGGAGGTGTCATCACAAGGTGTCAACTTCTACCAAGTCGACATAGACCTTGAGATGAAGATACTGTACAGTGGCTACATGGATATACTAGGTGGCATCGGCACTCCATCCAGATGGCGCCACCGCTGGATCGTCCTTAAACAGGATAACGCGCTCTATCTGTATAGATCTGAGGAGGACCGCGACCCGGTTGGAGTGGTGCAAGTTTCCGGTTGTACCGTGACGCATCTAAAGGATAGCAACCGACCGTTCTGTTTACGGGTGGCCCGCTACGGGGAAAGGACGTGGTACCTCTCTCCTGACTCACAGACAACTATGGACACGTGGATGCAAGTCTTGCAAGAAGCTGCATTCATCCTGGATGCTGTAAGTTACATTGCAAAAAGTGTACTTAAGACAACTTTATTATGGAAATGCATAAAGGGATAACTTCTTATTGATGGATAATTTAATTCTGGATAATGTTTTTATGGTTTTTATTTGACAACTGTTGCCACGAAAAGCTACAATCACTATAAACTGCCATGTTTTAAACAAAGTTCACCTCTGAATAAATTCATAAAGTTGATTCCGATATGAAGCACTTTAATAATCGTGACACTTTCCGAGAAAACAATTACATGACCGATGCTTTTATTCTAACATCTAGGGTGATTCCTGGCTTAGGAGCTGCAGTCGAAGAGCAGGGTTGTCACCTCTCGCTATCGACTCTCCAGAATACCACGGTGTCATCACAGCACAGTTACACGGGCGCTGGCATCAATTCCTAGCAGTACTAAAGGATGCGTGCTTGTTCCTCTACGCAAACGCTAACTCAACCGCTGCAGCTGGTGAGCACGCTATTATCTGTTATAATGTCCGCTATTATCTGTTATAATATCAGGATTATGTGTTTCGTCGGGGAATATTTCCGAAGCGAACATGAATATATCGGGCGTGAGGAAGGGACAGCTGCAGCAGATAACAAAAGAGAGGGAGCGAGAGAAAGAGAGAGACAGAGAGAGAGAGAGATAAAAAAGAGAGAGAGAGAGCAAGAGAGAGCGAGAGAGAGGGAGAGATAGCTAGATAGAGATAGGGGGTGGGAGATAGGTAGAGCGAGAGCGAGAAGGAAGGGGAAGAGTTAAACATTCTAACATATATTATAATTAGCTTTTACATTAATTTCCAGGTGCCCTTCATTTGCACGGGTATACAGTTTCATCCAAAGAGATCAGACAAAGACCAACCCTGGAGCTTACACCGACGCAGCCGAATCTGCAAACCTTCTGTTTCTTCACTGATAATGCAGAATGCCACAAAAGGTGAGCTTACCGGCCAGCAGACTATTTCTACCACTAAACATTATATAATAACGTATAATGTATACTATTTTTACCACTGAGCTGCAATATAATATATGTAATAACGTTATACGCAATAACACGTATATAATAATATATAAAACGTTATGATGTATTAGATAAGGATGGTAAATAGGTTGGCGAGATAGATTATTAAGTAATGACTATGTTATTAAATGCAGCTCAGTGTGATTTCTACACGCGTTGCGCAGCGGCAACAATTGTTTCCTTGCTGTAACCATAAATATTTACAAATATATGTGTATATATGTATATATACAAAATGTGTTTGTATATATCTATGCTGTGACCAAAGACCGTATACAATTGTACACGGTCTTTGCTGTATAAGCGCGAACTACTAACTAACACTAGTACATAATGACTAGCTAGATCTTAAGGTAAGAATATATAGTGGATGTAAATGGAAACATCTATAGCAATGCGCGTATTAAGGCAGCGTTTCTCTTCACAGATGGATGACTGCACTTCAACATTCTATTTCGAAATGGGTGCGAGCAGAAGTAACGCAGGGTACGTGATTCGTGCAAGGAAAATGCTACGAGCCGCTGTGGAGCGATTGCATTCGGCAGATCCAATCCTCTGAGCACTGACTACACACACCGCTACCTGCTAAGTCGCTAATGCAAACCTACAGCGCAGGAGCATCAAGCGAATCCGCGTCGTATAGCTACGCTTCGTAAAAAAAGCGCGAAAAATACGGCTGTAGGTTGTAGTAACGGTTGACTGCTGTAAGGTTCGGTAACCAGCCGCAAATAGTGGTTGAATTCGAAATACAAGAGAGAGGAAATTTCCCTCATAACTCCCCCTTCATGTGCATCTGCTGGCATGTGTGCAGAGGCTATTAAACTTACACCCGTATAAGCCCATAAAAATTAAAACAACAAACGACACCAAAGCCCTGAGCGAATATTATAAGCTGGTTTAACATGTATCGCGTGACTTCTGAAGGCATATCCCGATAATCCGCAATATTATAGGACTCCAAGCGAGGCATATAGAAAGTATACGTGCGATTTTACACGGTAAGAAAAAATGACGAGAGGAACATGTGTCAACCACGTAATGAAGTTAGTCATTCTGTTATACGTGGATAGAAGCGATGGAGGTGAAAAAGAAACACGTGAACTGGTGGAGCGTAACATATTAACGTCTGTAAACTTATTGATAAACAGCAGGAGCAGGGGAGGCAACGGATTGCCCGGAACAGGAGCTAAGGTCCCCAACGGGAACATTGAACGGCCAGTGAGTTCCCGGAATAAAAAAGCGAGTGAACATTCATGACCCGTATGGTGCCAAAAAAAACACGTGTGTGCGACAGAGGTGGTTTAACAATTTTCAGTACTATTAAATGTAAATATCACATCCTTTCATTAAGATTAAAGGTTAGAGAAATAATTTGATGGATTGTTACTTATATTATCATCCTAGATACCCTACGTCACTTCCTAGATAGAATAGTCGTGTTTAAGCTTCACACAGCACACCCATGTTTATTTATAATAAAAAAAACATGCATTGGAAACGGGATATCATATCTATACTGGAATCCGTATCACCATGCGTTATAACAACACATTTTGCCTTGATATATGCTAACAATTTTTGTTATGAGCTTATAAGACAAAGCTAAATTACATTATAAAATTGTCTTGCGTGACGCTTTTGTTGCAAAGCCATTTTCTACAGCCTAATAGGCGCTTTTCAAAAGTCATCTAAAATGGGACCGACACTAGTAAATCGATCGTAACATGCAGTCTCGTGGCCATTCTTATGGTAACGAGATGCACTGGTGTGGTTTAGTCGTGTTCGTATATTCCGTACTTACTGTGTTGATTGCGTGTGCTTGTCTAGTCTATTTGTTTCGTTCTTTTTTTTATTTTTGCCGCACTAATGCCAAAAAATCGTGTATATAGGCCTACGGGCGATATCTAGGAGAAGGGATAGTGTTTGCGTGTATGCGCGCGCGAGTGTGTGACCTAGTTCAAATATTATTTGTGTGTGTGATTACGATTGAATGATATGCGGTTATTACAAATGTATGAATGCTTAATGTTGTGTTGTGAATAGAGTATATGTTTCCATTGTGCCAACGATGCCGCCCGCATGTAAAGTCTTGTTCAATGGTGGGCATGTATAAAATCAGTATTAGCAATTTACTAGCTGGCAAATGTCTTCATATAATATATAATTAAAGCCAAATCTGTCAATGTAAATATATGTCTTACCGGTAACACAGACACGCGAAGAGCAAAGCTAGTGTATTCTATTTGTTACTCACATTTGTATGTAAATAATACAGGGTAGATGAAACTCAGTCTGTATCTAAGGCAATTGTATAAATTTACATATATTTTTAATGGAAAGTGATAAAATAAACATTTGAAGCCGAACCTGGTTTTAATCTATTTTTTTCTAGTTTTCCTCTGATATAAATCCATTGACATAACTAAATCGATTACATGAAGTGATCAGCAACGATGACGACTAAGTCAGGAGTGTATAAGATAGATCTATCTAGATATAATCTATATTATACACTCCTGGTGAAATGACAGTCAATCAATTATTTTACAGTCATGTCTTGAATATCTTTCGTTGATAAACCAATGCATATGGTTTCACTTCCACTTACCGAAGAAATACTCTTAAATGCTACTAACTTACCGCTATTACTGTTACTGCGCACTGCTTGAATGTCAACAGGGGAGAAAACGAGCGTAAATCACTGGCACAACGTATCATGTGCACAAGTCAAGATAATTTATTAACACACATGTAGTCAACTCTTTAGCATCTATCGTTCACTCTGTAGGTATGTTAATTCATGGTCACTGCACGTAGTTATATGGTGAGAAATCCACATTATTTAGGAACGTTATGTATCTCCATTAACTTTTAAAACAGAATTTCAGTAGACATTACATATATTATGTTAATAGTTATACAACCAAAACATGTACATATGCATAGAAGCATCACGTAAATATTCACTACAAAATTGCATGAAAAACAGTACCTAGATGTGTTTTTTTATCAAAAGTTCTTCTACGTTATCTCGTATTATGCTACTAAAATTTGTAACAATTCATAACAAATATCATCTGTTCCCTTATCACATTACTCGTCTAACCGTTTGTCTGATACACGTCATCAAACTTTTTACCCTACAAAAATCTACACAATATGAAACGGAATTTCATATGGTGTAATGATGCATTCATAGGCGATTTCCAAAAAACAACAAGCGATAAATTATTGAGATTAAAGTAGGAAATCCCCTAGTATAATGGCGTTCAGTAAAATTATTCGTTTTAAGTCAATAGTTATAATATAACATACAGCAAAATCGGCCCTTTTTATTTTGGGAAATCAAATTTCCAACATTTCGGGAATTCAGCACATGCCATTCAGTATACCATTATACTTCACATGTCAGATCCAGTCTTGCTCATGGCAATCAGTAATTTTGTTGTTTGTTAGGGAGTTTGAGTTCACATTAATCCAAGCAAAAACCAGCAAACTTCAATAACAATGTGAAATGAAGAATTATAATGTGTACATCTCATACTTAAAAACGCAACCAAATAACATTCACCAAACAACCATAATAACCCTCTGGGGCCCCTGGGGACCAGCAACAGTGCCATTGCCCTTGTAAGTTACTTATTTGTGACCAGGTGGGAATTGATAACCTAGTTTAACGCAATGAATCAAGACACAAATGCTAATAAATTCCTATCCAGAACAAAACTGCACATCTAATGGCGCTGTCACACCACCGTATGAAAGCCAGCGTATACCGACGTATCAAAATTTCTCTAAAACGCTGGCATACGCTGAACTATCGATGCTTTTTTTAATTTTGGGCGTATACATAGCGTATTCATAACGAGTTGGACGTATACATAACGTATTAGTAACGTATATAGAACGTTTCGATAACTTATAGATAACTTATACCAACAAATGCTTAGCGTGTTGCCGGCGTTCACAACTTATGCCCAACGATAGTCTAACTTATGCATAGCGAGCGGCAGCGTATCGCCGACGATCACGTGTCTTAGCCTATAAAAAGGCAGCCGCTCGACGATTCAATTCATAACCGCACTAGACACCGCAGTATCAACATCACCGTCGCAGTATCAACATGCCAATACCATTTTTATATACCAATTCCCCTAAACGCTGCCAATACGCCATATTATACGGTAGCTGTAAGTTAGAAACACGTTCAGTAAATTCTGTGGTCGTCCGGAACACTTCAAATACGTCTACATACGTCAATATGCGTTGGAGATAAGTTCGATATAAGTTACACATAGGTTCAAAGCACGTTACTCATAGGTTAGAAATAAGTTTTGGGTACGCTAGACATTATCTCGACGTATTTCGACTTATGAGTAACTTACAAGTAACGTGTGTGAACGTGTGTCAACGATCGCATAACATACCTACAACTTATGGCACGCGTATGCGGGACGTATGGGCATACGCTGGTATACGTCGAAAATGTTTGTGTATGCAAAAAAGATTCCGGCGACCTCGCCGTACTACGACGTATACCAGCGTGCTTCAGCGTGCTTCAGCGTGCTTCAGTGTGCTTTAGAGTGCTTCAGCGTGCTCTTAACTTATACAAAACTTACCCATAACTTATTCGACGTACGCCAGCGTATTCGCCAAATTTTTCATACGTCGGCATACGCTGGCTAAATCGTCAAGATGTGACAGGGCCATTATTATAGCACACAGGAAAAGTGTAGACAAAATTCAACACTTGGTCATACACTTACAATAATTGTAAATGATGAAATTGTCGATAGAACATCAAATAGAAGTAGACGGTGTTGTTCAGATCTATTTCCGAGAAACCACAGGCAAATTTAAAACGTAAACTACAAGGTAAAAACTGCTAAAGATGTCTGTAGCTCTCTCTATGCCCCTCTCACATCGAAACAACACTAACCCCTAGTAAGTTACCCACTCCGAAATAAATATCCCCGCGAGCGCTATTTAACCTGTAAATTCTGAAGATGCTGCGAGACCTTGTCGATCTCTTTCTTGTCTCGCACCACGCTGCGACCTTCGGCCGGCACCTCGAGCAGCTTCCCAAGGTCAACGCGAAGGTCGTCGAGAGATTTCGACCTTGCAAAGCCGGCCGGCTCCCACTGCGGCAACTCGGACGACTCTGATATGTTACGCTCCCTCGCCGGCGGCGGCGGATCGACGGGCGGCGGCGCCGACGCGTCGCGAGCGGTGGTGTGCGCCGAGTCGTGCCACGGCACCTGGTACGGCCGCTTGAACCGCCGCGCGGACCTCATTCTTCCCGCCGACTTGCCAGGACCTGCCGCCACTGCCGCAGCGGCGTCCGCGCGTGCGTAGGGGGCGCCGACGTTGCGGTTCCGCTCCCTCAGTCCGCGCAGCGACTTTGTGCGTCCCGTCCGAACGGCGGCGCTGGCGGGCGCGACGAGCAGCCCGGTGACGTACTGCGAATTCATGTGCAGCACGCGGAAACCGGGTTTCGCCGGGCTGTTGGGGTTGCTACTGGGCTTGGGCTCTCGCGCGCACTCGCGCTCGCGCAGGAACTGCCGCCGGCTCTCCGTCACCGTGCTGAGCATGCCCAACTCGTGCAGGGCGCTGTCGATGTCCATCGCCGACGGCAACGGACAGGAACTTGTCGATGCTGGCGGTGGGCTGTTTCCATGGCAGCAGTAGCAGGCACTAACTCTCTCCATGTCACGGGAGCATGACGCTGCAATTCAATTCAATTCGATCGACTTGATTTACACTTGTGAATCACATTTTGAAGGTATGGTATTAGTTAAACAAATTAATTGGCAATGCTGATGAATTTAAAACAAATAAAACTAAATAAATAGCAATGATGGAGCGCAAAATGACAATTCAGTCTTCCAGTCACCCCACTCCAGTAGATTACGGAATAACTACATGATGCCAAAAATACAAGATAAGGAATAATATATATAAATAACAGGTGAAACCAGAGTAGTAAACTTTTTCTTGGTTTACTAGATAATGTATAACAATTATGATAATTATGATATACGTATTATTTCATTATACAGTAAAACTCGCATAAGTCGACACATTTGGGACCAGCATATTTGTGTTGACTTACGAAAATGACGACTTAAGCGTAAGTCGTCATTTTGTAGACTTATACAATGTATGTAATGCGCGTATACACTGCATTAGCTGCCTTGCATAGCAGGACATTTGCGGTGCACGTCTGCCAAATTTTCTTGGAATACTTGCTGAAAAAAATACGGCAATTCCGCGAGGCCGTGCTCTGGAATGAACTATTGGGGATTGTACTAACTGGGTTTGTACTGTATAGCAGAATTAATTTTCAGGGAGTCACATGGACTCCTGCATAATGTCAAATCAGGGAGTCTGACAGTAAATCAGGGAGTATTTGACTCGATCCGGAATCGCGTTAATTTCGCACCCTGCATTGGGCTGCATACACTATATAATACCCTGTATACAGTGGGGAATCTGGGGGTGTGCGAACTGCGAGCTGGAAAAAAACACAATGCGTCCAAGCAAACAATTCGATTCAAACAATCCGTCTGCGACAGCCAGCAAGTGCATTCCCTAGACCGTACACTGCGCCATCGGCATTTCTGTTGTCGACTTACAGATGGGAAATTATTGTTGTTTGTATTATATGGGACCTGTCTGAGGGCGTCGACCTGTACATAATGACGACTTATAAATGTCGACTTAGGCGAGGCTATTCCAATGGATTTACTATGAGAACGAATCAGGACTTTGACTTCCATGTCGACTTACGTGAATTGACGACTTAGACGATGTCGACTTACGCGAGTTTTACTGTACATTCAAGCTATTCCCTTAGGTGAGTGCGTGCGACCGTTGACGCGAGTTCGGTTTGTGAAACTAATGATATACATTGCATCAAGAGCTAATAATACCTAGAGTGTACAACGGAAAAACGGGAAAATAGTGCTATTTCACAACTACATTATTCTACTTTGCCTGCGAGTCTAGAATAATTTCATGGTATTGCATTAAGCAGAATTCCTTGCTCTCTACAACAAGACCAACCGCTTGTCAATACGATACTCCTAGGCGGAGATATCGGCTCCTAAACCTCCCCTCCCACATGCCTTACGCCGCTTCGCATCCACTTTATTCAGCTACCTACACGCGTCTAAGCATTGCTTCGTGAAAGTTCGGTTTTTCCGCGATAACTTTATGAATGAACGGTGCTTCGGTTATCATAGATGACTTTCGGGGGCATCGCCTATGCCCTTATCTTCCATTATCTTTCCTAGCACGGCTAATGCCCGTCATGGTGGAGCCGGCTCCATCAAGTTTTTACAACGCAGCTCAGTTACTATATATGGTGTAGTAACAGTACCAAATTTGGGCATGTGACATCAATTATCAGTGCTCCAAGCGGTGACGAAAACCGATAGCCAAAATGCTTAGACGCGTGTAGGTTGCTGAATAAAGTGGATGCGAAGCGGCGTAAGGCATGTGGGAGGGGAGGTTTAGGAGCCGATATCTCCGCCTAGGAGTATCGTATTGACAAGCAGTTGGTCTTGTTGTAGAGAGCAAGGAATTCTGCTTAATGCAATACCATGAAATTATTCTAGACTCGCAGGCAAAGTAGAATAATGTAGTCGTGAAATAGCACTATTTTCCCGTTTTTCCGTTGTACACTCTAGGTATTATTAGCTCTTGATTGAATACAACCTCCGACAATTCTTACTCATATGGCTTGTGAAAAGAGAGAGAGGTCAAATTAAGAAATTCACCTACCGTGATTGAATGGGTTATGATTATCCCTCAGGTCGTGCCATTTACATCAACTGGCTTGATTCTCCAGCGAAAATTCCTCTCCGACTAAGCATTAACAGCAAAAATCAGCATGAACAATATTGAATACGTACGAATAACCAAATTCAGTCTAACCTAGGCCCTATCGGCGCAAATCCACTTTAGGCACCTTAGGTATCACGAAGTGATGCACAGATTTCTGTCTATCATCAACTGATGCACAGACTTTCCGTATATCCAAGGAATGATGCAAAAACCTTAACCCTAACACACTTCGTGATACCTAAGGTTATACTTTATGACTTAGGGTTAGGGTTAGGGTTTTTGTAGCTCCAAGAAACGGTATCGCTAGGGTTAGGATACCCTAGACAATCCGTATAGACAATCCGATCTGTATAGACAATCCGTCGCACAGCCTGGTCGGGCTAGGGTTTTTGCATCATTCCTTGATATACGGAAAGTCTGTGCATTAGTTGTAGCTCTAGTAGCCGCCAGCGGCAGTCAATGTAAGCGGGCTATAGTACTAGAGCTACATCAGTTGATGATACACAGAAATCTGTGCATCACTTCGTGATACCTAAGGTGCCTAAAGAGGATTTGCACCCTTACCGCTAAACTCACATTAATTTATTTAGCGACAAATAACAAGACATTAGGCACAATTTACTAATAGTAATACTAATAGTAATAAATGATCGGTCTAGGCCTACGACATTTGCTGGAAACGCGTAAAAACTAAAATCATTTTACATTTTCAAAATGAACTATTTACATGATACATCTACTCATTCATTCGAGGCGTTGCCATTAGGCCTACAAATAAACTATTTTTAATTCATGGTTTCAATAGTTATAATAACGTACACTGCTTTATGTTACACTAATGTCTTTTCTATGCCATTTTAACCGGCAATTATTTTCTTTCAGTTCCATTCATTTACTTGGAATTTAGAAATTTGTTTGTGGACCTCTTAGTAGATGCGCTCTCGCAATCTAACTGTTGGGAAAAAACAATTGAATGTACAAAAAATAGTTTAATTAGAAAGTAGTTATACTTGAGAAACAATTAAATAATATTAATTATATTAGCTTAAAATTTCGTAGGTAGAAACTTCTTGTGAAGCGTGTTATAAATTATCAATCTGTCGTGAAGAAGCTCTTCAAAGGGGCATTATGAAAATGTTGGTATAAAGAAAGACCAAAACGACCTGGAACGGACTGAAAAGAGACCGACTCTTTAGCTTTTATTGAACTATTTTAGTTAACTTATTGAACCGGTTTTATTGAACTATATTAACTGTAAATTAAATTTGAACTTTTATATTATATAATTATTTTTTCTCATTTCATTCCTAGATTACCTACACACATGAATTTCTCTTTCTGCGTGGCTTTCTTGTTGTTCTTGTCGACTTCATCCTTGTGATTTGTTTGCATGGTGCAGTAACAATAAAACGCATAAGAAATAGGTTGGAAATTCTATTTTTCAATTTACAATTGTATTAAACATGTATGATATTATACCAGCTAGAAGTATAAGCTAGAAGTATAAGCTAGAACTGTATATAGCTAGTGTAATAACATTTATTTTGCGTTCGCGTGTGCACGTGTGTGCCTGCGTGTGCGTGCATGTAGCGTGTTTGTCTGTGCGTGCGCGCAGACACGTGCGCGTGTGTCAGAATGTGAGCAAATTGCAACTTGGAATAATCATTTGAGTAATCAGAATGACTACTCCAAGATTGCATTGAAAATGATACATTTATTTATATATACCTGCGCACATGGACAATACTGAAATAGATACCGTTTCGGTCCGTTCCGTTGTTTCCATGTACCGGCAAAATGGCGGCAAAGTTAAATAGTAAAACCGAAGATGTCACGAAAAAGTTAATCACACGGTTAACTGGGTTCGTTGTAAGTACAATATTAGTTACATTAAAGCATTAGGGTGCTACTATGCGGTAGTGCAAGTGCCTATGATTACAGTTAGGCATACTACTACTAGTACTACTACTGAGTCAAGGGGTCGTTGTCGTATCAGCCTCAGATTACTGAGTGACGTCTCCTTACCGTCTGACACTGACAGTGATACTGATAGTGATAGTGATAGGGTCTATGTCCCCCAGGGTACTGCCGGAACGTACCCTGGGTACAGTCCGGACGTTACCGGAACGTACCCTGGTAACTATCTAGCTGATATGGTTAGGGTTAGGGTTATGGTTAGGGAGTAGGCGTAGGCAACTCCCTAGACTCGTTAGTGGAGTAGGCAAGGTACGGTCCGGCATATTAGATAGTACTAGTAGTATTTAATACCACTACCAGGGTACGTTCCGGTATACCGGACCGTACCCAGGGTACGTTCCGGCAGTACCCTGGGGGACATAGACCCTATCAGTATCAGCGGTACCTGAGGTAGTACTACAGAGTACAGTAGGACTACTCAGTAGTACACTGTACAGTCTACAGATATGTACACGATGTACATGATATATGTATACACAAAGTGTACCAGACTTGTACTACAGAAGTGTACCCTAACCCTAACCTTAACCCTAACCCTAAACATACCGCATATAAAAATATATAAACATAATAGTATTACTATTAATACTAAACTGTAAACAACCTAAAACTATACCTCGGGTACATATCTGTAGTACCTGATACGACAACGACCCCATCTGCACTACTACTAGCCTACTCATCGTGCGTTATGCATGCAACTTATGCTCAAGGATAGAGAGCATGTCCAGTAATAAACATCATCCTATCCAATCACCGTCCTGGACATCATCTCTATCCTTGAACCTATCGAACCGTACCCAGGGTAGGGTACCCTCCGATAGTACTCTGGGGGTCATAGACCCTATCAGCACAACTTATGGCTGTCGTTGAGTACCTTGTCAAGACCGGCACAGGCACAGGCACAGACACTGAGACAGGCACTTGGAGCGTTTCAATAAAATATAATGCTAAATAAATAGGAAGTGTCTAAACAACCAGATCCGGTTTCGGAGTCCTGAAAACTAAACAATTGGCTCTTTTCTCTGATTGGCTAATTTTGTCACTTATTTATTATATTTTTTATTATTGTTGGCTAATTTTATTTTATTTTAGAATTAGGGATAGGGTTAGGATTAGCATTAGGGTTTGGGTTAGGGTTAGGGTCTATATCCACTACTTTCAAGTAGGTCTGAGTAGCTAAGCGGTAGGTCTTTCGCTTCGTGATAGTAACGGACCATGTTCGAACCACATAAGATGTTTTTATTTTTCTCTGCTTTGTGTATTTCTTTGTATTTTATTTGTTTCTGCATTTATTTGTTCTGTAACTTTTGTTTATGTTTGGAATTAAATATATTTCTTTATGTGTTGCATTTAACATTGTCCTATTATATATTTGTCCTGTTAATAGTGTTATGTTCGGAAACTGACCAATCAGAGAAGAGAGCCGGTTGTTTAGTTTTCAAGACTCCGAAACCGGGTCCGGTTGTTTAGACACTGCCAAATAAATATGAAATCTATTTACTACCAAAGTCTTAATCATAATGTTTCTCTACTCTCTTTTGCCTATTGTTGACAATTTTCTGTAAATGCCGTCCAAATTCTCATCTGCAACACACAAGTACACCGCACGCTAGCTGCTGCGCAGTGCACACTGACACATAAATATATAAATATATAAGTTATAACTATATATTTATGTGTCGGTGTGCAGCAGTTAGCGTGCGGCGTACTTGTGTGTTGCAGATGAGCATTTGACCGGCATTTACAGGTGATTATAGGCAAAATAGAGTAGAAAACATTAAGACTGGTAATAAATACATTTCGTGTTTATTTACCCTTTTTTTATTGAGACGTTCCAAGTGCCTGTGACCACAGGCACTTGGAGCGTTTCAATAAAATATAATGCTAAATAAATACGAAATCTATTTACTACCAAAGTCTTAATGTTTCTCTACTTTCATTCACCTATATTATTAGCGACAAGTCGTGTGCTGCAAATGCTCAGCAAACACGCACCCACCGAATGCACGCTGCTACACTGCTGCACGCTATGCACACTTACACATGAATATATACAATATAGCTCTATGTTCCAAGTGCCTGTGGTCAAGACAGTATGTGTCTGACTTTCTTAGATCATTGACGTAACCATTACCATGGCATATGCATAGATAGATAGATACTGACTTCTTCAGTTCACTAATGACTTAATTCAGTACTAGTAGCAGTACAGTCTACATACTGTGTGGTCCCATTATAACGAGTTCGTTGAGGTCCATAAAATGTCATCGTGAAAAAAGCGGGGTTGCGCTAAATCGAAGTTCAAGAAAATCAGCGTACAGCGAACAATGCATAAAAGCGAACAATGCAAATGAAACAATGCATATATGATACAGTCAAAACAACAAGTCATGTAAACTTATTTAGTTGCGCGATCTATGATCGTCGCTTCGACCTAAGGCCGGCTTAACTCGCCAAAAAACTTCAGTTCCGGAAAAAGCAAAACAAGGTCCAATGACTCATCGCGTTATATCTGAATTTGCGTAAAATCGGGATTTTACTGTACTACTAGGTGTTGTATGGTATTTTGAATTCTCTACCCATCACTATCTCAATGCACTTGCAGCAAGACAGAGTGTGTTGTGCTATTAAACCTGTGCTACAGGCTGTGCTACAAAAACATGCTTTAGCCAACAAAGAAACGAGTTGGCTCTCACCTCTCTAAACTCAATCCTGAGCTCGCTATAAGTTGCCTGGCAAATTTGGGCTATTTATTTGACTCAAATGATTGCATAAGCAACATTTCAAGGTGCAAGCTCATCCTCATTGTTAGCATTAGTATAGCTAATAAGCTTTACTATTTAACAAGTTCACTTTTTAAGCATCTCCAGTTTATATAAAACAAACTATTTCAGTTACATGAACTAGACTTGCCCGACGAGGCTGTGCGATTGATTGTCTATACATATTATGTCTTCTGATCCTAGCAAGACCGTTTCTTGGAGCTAGACATAAATATGATATAATGTGTACACATATTTTTCTCATGTACCAAACTATGCACTCAACAAGCAGTAGACCACAAGCATTTACTTCGCTTGCTTTTGCCTAAAGCCTAATTCACCTAAAGGCCATTCTTCGCCCCTGACTCTGTCTACTCCATTACCTCTAGTTCCTTGACCTTATCTTATAACTTGTTTTATCTTGTACGATATTTGAAAAACTTCAAATATTTTATTAATTTTAGTCTCTCCTTGCCCCCTCTACCCTGTCCTCATCCCAACCCCATCCCCAACCAATCAACATTGCCTTCTACCTGTTCTGGCAGTCACACTCAACTCTTTTTTCACATGTACTGCATGACGTTGTGTAAGTAGTCTACATTTTTGTAATATTCGGAGAAAAAAAAATTCTCGACTCAATTTTATTTTGCTAAAAAAATCATTCTGCACATTTACAGGCCTGCGACGAGAACTTTCAGATTTGCTCAGACTTCGTCAGCTCAAACTTTCGATATCATCGCTTTTTAGATGTAGATAGTCACAAGATCACAAGGACGCTAAAAGGGTAAGCCCTTCCCAAATCAGAACCTCTATAGAGATACTTGTATAATACCAAGAATGCATTACAACAGAGTTTTATGTATGTTATTATCAGCTCTTGAATATATGTTTATCGCAACAAATATTAAAATGTTTTCTATGGATTATCTAATGTACCCTGCATGTGATGTACAGTGCATGTTGAGAACAGAGACCTGTGTCCATGATGTTCACATAGGGATGAACATGCGACTGGAAACGTATTCACTGATCAATTGGGACAACCATTTAATCGGGCCTTTTCCATGGTTTCTGACCTGTACTTAGTGTTGTTTTTCAGATTAGCAGCAACATGGGTCCTGTTTGCTTTTAGCGTTGTAAAATCTGTATAATTGTTTCTAGGCTTCATGAAAAGTTCACTGTGAATAGTGAGGATGAAAAAGCCAAATCGCTTAAAGACCTTGCATACAGATTTCTGGAAATTCCATGCTTTGAGGAGAAGATGCATGGAAAGGTAGGCTAATTTTCCTTGAGTTTCATCAACTGGGTGCGAAATTAACGCGAGTCCGGAGTCAAATACTCCTTGATTTACTGTCGGACTTCCTGATTTGACATATGCAGGAGTCCGCGTGATTCCCTGAAAATTTTGCTATACTAACTAGTTCGTTCCAGAGCATGGCCTCGCAGAATTACCATATTTTTTTTTAGCAAATGACCCAAGAAAATTTGGCAGACGTGCACCGTAAATGTCCTTTTTAGCTCGCCTTGACATCGTCAAGATGAGCTATTGCCATGGGGTGTCGTACGTCAGTCCGTCCGTCCGTCCGTCAACATTTGGCTACGGTCAATGATAACTCGAGAACCGTTTGACCCACATGTTTCAAATTTCATGCAGTTGTTACTCCTGGGAGAGGTTTGAACGTCATATTTTGGAGCACGCCAGTTGACCTACTTTCGAGCCACGTCTACTTTTTGGCAAAAATGGAAATGGTCATTTATAAGTCAATTCAGGTTCAACGGATTTTGCTCATTTCTAGTATGTGAATGGATAAGGACTGGCCCCAAAACATATCACACGGGTTTTGATATTTTTTCAAAATTATGCAAATTAGCTAGATTTTGGCAATTTCATAATGCATTTCAGTGTCTGTCTACGGTCAACGATAACTCAAGAACCGTTTGACCCACATGTTTCAAATTGAATACAGTTGTTACTCCTATGGGAGAGATTTGAACTTCTTATTTTGTAGCACGCCAAGTCGACCTACTTTGGCGACCATTTAGGCGTCGCGCCATCTCTCTTCAAGATTTCAGACTTTCAGATCTGAAATATTTATTTTCGCATCAAAACTTATGCATATATCATTATCAAGAGTATATAATGGGACTTCTCCCAGGCCAAACAAAAAATAGGTGTGTTTCCGGTCGACCGATTGTCCCTAGATTATTAGGGCCGACCCTAAACTATTTTTTCAAAAAAGAAGAAAAAAAAGAAAGTTTTTTAATTTGAAATCTGACAGACAAAACTTGAGAGTTTTTACTACAAACACGTTCTGGACTTGCTTACTAACTTATCCCTACCTATACACCACTTTATAGCATGCATCAAAAGCACAAGGTATACATACATATTCAATATTAAAACAGAATAGAAACGAGGAATCCTATTTATAACCTGTAAGATGTCGAATTAGCAAACACCTGTAGAACTGTATTAAAAAAAAAAAAATCCCTACTTACCTACCCTACTTTTGTTTTCGATGCAATAGGTAACACACCTGTTGACCTACTCTTTTTGGCCCCATATATACTTGGTTTATATATCCCCCTTCCCTCTTCTATCTCACCCAAGGTGAGCTACAGTGTCATTGACACGTTTAATATCTGCGGTACTACTTGTATACTGCGGACTCCCTCATTTTGCTGCGGACTCCCTCTTTTTGATGGTAATAAGTCAGTCCGTTGGACTCGCTTGTTCAAAAGTTAATTTCTACTCCTGCATCAATATGTAATATATCAATAATATATATATATTATTGAAATTAAACTGTGAAAAACCTAATAATTACATAAAATTGCCACACTATTTTGCTTATCGCACAATCACATGTTCCTGCATACACAAAAAGAACGTGAATTCATATATGATATAGATTATACAATATTAACCCCAATTCTACTTGGTTCTAGATGCATATCTGCTGTGCAATTTCCTTTGAAAACCTATTCGTCAACATTTCAGACGGATACTCACTACTGTATACTGTCCATGCTTTTGGCTCTGGGTGGCTCAGACAAGGCTGGAAGCTTTGAGCCTACAAGAGCGGCAACTGAGTCGTTGGACAATGAGACGCCAGTGGATGATAGCTTTGACTGGGCTCACTACCTCTTGGAGGGAGAGGAAGATTTCAAAAGCGCAACATTAGATGAGCCCATGTCAGTAAGTTTTGCCCGCTAACGTCCACACCAGAAGAAAATTTGAAACACGGTGACTTATCTATGCAGACTAATTGGGTTGTTCTTGCAGCCGTTTAGGGAGATATGTGAATGCAGTAGTTTTGTCCTGAGCGTTTGCCATCCCTCGTAACCTCGTAAATATTAGTCTTCAAAGTCCAAGGGACTATATCAGAGATGGAAATCTTGAAGAATTCGTCTTGAGGAAAACGCCATTCTTGCCATGCTGCGTTCAATACCAGCACACAACTTATCTGTTCAGGATTGGAGCGACGAAGAGATTGAACCTCCACCGAGGAGTCTCTCTGTAAAGGTGCCCAGAGATGACTCTGGCATTGACATTCCCAGCCGAGGTGCAGACGACGAGTCATCGCCGACAAACGTGCAGGTCGTCTCCGTTAAACTTGCGCAGGTTGGTATCTTCGGTGGAGTGGGGGTGTGGGTTTGCCGATTGCGCGGATGCGTGAGTACCGCTCATAGGGCCTATGTCCCCCGGGGTACTGCCGGAACGTACACTGGGTATGGTCCGGTATACCGCAATGTACCCTGGTAACTATCTGATATGGTTAGGGTTAGGGTTAGGGAGTAGGCGTAGGCGACTCCCTAGACTCGTTAGTGGAGTAGCGAGGTAACGGTCCGGCATATTAGATTAGTACCAGGGTACGTTCCGGTATACCGGACCGTACCCTGGGGGACATAGACCCTCTCAGCGTGAGTACCGGCATCCTTAAAACTCGAAAGTGTGTAAGAGTCTGATCTGTGTGACACCTGCTAGTGGGGTCTGTATTAGGGCTGTAACGATCCACCGAAATCGAATCGGATCGCGATTCTCTTCTCTCGATCCGATCCTCAATATTTTTCCCCGTGTTTTCGATTCCACTTCGATACCACTTTTTTCCTCCAATAGATGGCGGCACTACGCTGTATACTGTGGAGTTGTTACTCGCCAATTTTACTCAGCGCGACTGTGCAGTGTATAATATAACCATAGAGATGTATAAATAGTATACATCTCTATGATATTACTCTAGACTCTCTAGTCTATTCATCATTTAGTATTCATTGGTAATTTCTATAATTTATATTGCAAAATAATGAAAATATAAAAAATAAGGTAACATTTCAATATTTTGGGAATCGAATCGAAGGAATCGAATCGAGAGGCTAATATAGAAAACCGGATTGAATCGAGAGGCTTGTGTATCGTTAAAGCCTTAGTCTGTATGCGTTAAGTAGTTTTACCCCATGGTACACACATTGCAATAACAAATATACGAGGCATTACATTGGTATGGCATGCATCAAAACGCTTCGTGTTTAAAAAAGCGTCTAATGTCGTTTATTGTCCGTTTAGCATGGATATTGGGATAGAGAAAGACACTTGGTTAGGTGGTATATGATTGATAAGCAGTCTAGAATTTCTATGTGAATTCATAAAGCCATATGGCAAATTTCCTACGGATTTCTTATTGGCATCCTGAAGTAAAATAAAATGTGTTCACGGTTCTGTATCGGAAAACTGACAGATTAACATGCAAATGTCCCTTATAGTTTGTGTGGAATCAATAAATGAAGCTCACTATATATCTTGGCTATTCTCAGATACAAACCGATTTGCAGAATACATCGAGAAATTCTAGAAAGAGCGCTATACATAAAGCAATATATAAAATACATGTCGCAGCATAGAAAACCACTCTTACTTACGTGTGCACATAGTTATATTTCACTGGAATCGAGACGGATTGTAATTTGAATTTATTTGTTGTCTATGAAGCAAAATATGTATCGATTAGTCCCTCAGACATGGGGATAGCAGTCGTGAATAATCCACTGCTTTGTACACAACACCAACATCTCTGTACATTACAGAATTAGCAGGGCTGACTTAAGTCCACTGATAAGGGGCAGTCATGGCTGCGAAGTAATCTCCTACCACCCGCTACTGGACCATGGATGTAGATGGCTGCTCACCACAGAGCAAGCACAGAGCAAATCTCTTGAACACCGAGTGGTGAGGCACCTTAGTAATGCTCATAGGGGTCCAAGTCCCCCAGGGTACTGCCGAACGTACCTTGGGGTACGGTCGGGGATACCGCCCGAACGTACCCTGGTAACTATCTGATATGGTTAGGGTTCGGGTGTTAGGGTAGGTGTAGGCGTAGGCGACTCCCTAGACTCGTTAGTGGGTAGGCGAGGTACGGTCCGGCATATTAGATGTGCCAGGGTACGTTCCGGTATACGCGGACCGTACCCAGGGTAGCGTTCCGGCAGTACCCAGGGATACATAGACCCTGGCAGCATAGTAACAGGTTTACTTTGTGATCAAATGAGACTTGATTTACATTGATCCACATTTTGCACCAGCGTTATTATATATAGTCAGCACGGCCTAGAGCATCTGCAGGGCGATACTGCCGCGCAGAAGCGCTCAAACGCCACTAGTCGGCGGCACCGTTACTCAACATCGCTGCCTTTTACCCAACGCAGTATTCCGGTCCTTCTTCAGGGTTAGCTTGAAGCCGGCTTTTCGCGTGAATTGAGAGCGGTGTCTGCCCATTGCACGAGGATCTCACTACCAGTTATGTAGAGACGGGCTAAGAAATGCGCCGCGAAATTTTCGTAGGCTTACTAGGCGCGGCTTTCTTTCTGTAATAACGGAGTTTTTTGTTGACATTGTAACAATATATGGCGCTCATAGCGTTAGCGTTGAGTGGCTGAGTTGAGGGGATACGATATATAGGAATTCGTCTTCGCTATCGTAATATAACAGTTAGTTTATTGTCACTGTTATCTGCTATTGTATCTCTGCCATAGTTACACTCCTCATCAAACTAAAGATTTCAACATGGTGGCAGAAGTGCCTAAACTGTTGAACAGTGAAGCTTGAACTGTAAGTGTTCCGTAAGAATTCACGTGGCAATTCGGAGTGCTCCGACTAGGACGGCCCAAGGATAGAGAACATGAGCTCCAATAAAAACCAATGTCCTCGTACTCGTGATTCTACAGGCACCTAGGCATATATATATGATATCTAACACGATCCCCAATGTCGAGCATCGAATTGTGATCCACACTACGAATACTTTCTATACTACAACTATACAAGTACATGTTACCAATAATTACTAGTAGTAGTAAGTACTACTAGTACTAGTACTACTATACCAGGACTACGTAGTACTACAGTATACTAGTACTAGTACTAGTTCACTACCAGGGCTAATAATGACAAACTGTGTTACCGTAGTAGTAAGTTACTAATTTAATAATGACGACTCCTGTACGTTAGTGTTACTAGTACTCCTACTAAATATAATAAAATATAATGCTAACTAAATACTAAAATCTATTTACTACCAACTTCTTCATGTTTCTATAGCATAGGCTACTCTCTTTGACCTATTATTGCCGAGTTTCCTGTAATTCCGTCGAAATCCTACGTCCAACGTACGCTGCGGCTGCCATTGCTCGCGCGCGACTGTTGCACGCTTACACTAATATATATATACGCAGGTAGGAAAGCGTGCTGCCAATCGACACGTCGACGCTGCCACTTCATTGGAAACTTTCAAGCAGCCGAATACACATATCAACGAGCTTTCCATCTTTTTTTCTCCTTGAACAACAGTATCACTTGTTATAAAAACATAATGTCTCTGTCGTAAACCGACTGTGTCATGCGAAATCACACAGACTGACGAAATTCTGGCGTTCGCGAACCTTTGCCAGTAATGGAAATGGCTTGTCAGCCGCAACAGCATGGCAACGTTTTTGGCTGCAACGTTCCACATCGAGGCTCGTACGCGAGTTGGAACGCAGTGCGGCCGGCGCTGCGCGCCGCCTATAGCCCGCATAGACTGGCACTCAGACGCTTCCACCTCTCGGCTTAGCTTAGTCACTCGATGGTAAATCGAGGTGGGAGTAAGTCCCAGTCTATATAGCCTTTGTCCTTGCGCCATTTCCATACTGGGCAAGGTTCGCGAAGCGCGAAAATTTCGTCAGTCTTTCTGTGATTTCGCGGACCAGCTAGGTTACGAAGAGACATTATGTTTTTATAACAAGTGAACACTGTTCACTCACGGTCCAAATGTCTGCCCTCTGTGTCCCGCACTAAAATTGTGGACTGTTCGCTGGCAGCTATGGATGCGTGCGCCGGCATAAGCATTCGGCGGCACGGATCCATAGCTGCAGCAGCTGCATACTGTCGTAGGACGTTCCGTCGCCGTGCGGGCCTTGCGCGGAACTGCGGCGCAAGAATCTGGCGCTCAGCACTTTCGGGTCAACACCTTCTTTCGGCACCGCTTCTCTATGTTATCCCGTCTCATCTGATGCACTTTGCTTCTCATTGATGTTGTTGATAGTTTTTCCATGTGAACGTTTACGTGAAATATGCTTGCCCATAATGCAAGAAATAATCTTCTCCATTTTTAGCACTGCACACAAGCCATACACGTGCATTGCCAAATAATTAACTTCTTAATTGTCAGGCTATGTCATTTTTGTCTTGTTCAGTAGAAACTAACTGGTATTTGGCATTAACATTCTACGAAGCAAAACAGATTATATTGACTTCATTTGATGTTTAATCAAGAATTACGATAGAACAAATGCTGATCCGCTTAGAGGTTCAAAATACCTAAAAATGCCTGTTCACCACAAACTGAGTTTGACTTGCCCCCCTCCCCTCCTCTTTCCCCTAGGCAAAACGAATTAGCTACAACCCTAGTCCCTTTTTCATGTGTAAACGCTAAGTAATATGTATAACAATATCGATACATTGTTATTGCGATTTTATGTGGACATGCTATTGTGGACCCATATTGTATGTTCTTATTTACATGCTGTGAGATAGTTTGTTTAATGTAAAAGTGCTGTTATATATCATCTGCAGCATCGGTGGTTCAGTGGTAGAATGCTCGCCTGCCACGCGGGCGGCCCGGGTTCGATTCCCGGCCGATGCAACTGTTTTTGTTTAATGGTTTTTTTTATTTGACGGTCTCATTAAGCAATGACGGCGATATTGTAGAGTCAGACAATGATTGATTCTATAGTTACTGTATCTTATCTTGCTGTCATGTATTTTAGTAAGATGAAAATCAATTGCGTAAAATTAGTTCTGTCATATTTGTACAGGATGCAGCACGCGAGGTCCACCTCTCAATTTTGCCGAGTCGATGATGGAAGCGTTAGACTCAGTGAGCGGCAGGTCGTCAGGGAAACGCTGTGGATGCTCGCTGGAGTTACGGACCTATTTGTCTTCCACGCATCGGAAGATGGATATACAGTTAACAACAGCGTACTACTGGGTCACCTCACCAAGGTATAGCGAGTCATGTGCACTCGTCTAGAGGGTACTCACATCGTGCGTTTGTTATTTTCTTTAATATTGTGTGGTTAATAATTCTCTTTGTAAATACATATATGTTAATAATATTTAAATTTAATTAATATTTTAATATTTTAATTATATTTAAATTGAAAAATTCTGTGTTAACATAATTTCTATGTATTCTGATCCACACATGCCACCGGACCAATGGATATATATATATATATATATATACATGCATGCGCACATGCACGCACACACATATATACGATTACGTATATAATGTGCAGTAATATTGCAGGAGAGCATAGGCAATATGCTGCAGACATTCACCCAGTACGGTGCGGCCGTGAGACGACTTCAGGAGTTTGTGGATGCCACCGTCTCTGCCGCAGCAGCGATGGGCGGCTATTGCGAGAGTACGGCCTGTCTTACACACCAAGCCTTCAGCTGTGCCTTGTCTCAATACCTTCAGCAATTTCGTAAGGAACTCACGAAGCTGGAAACTGATCTGATCAAGCAAGGTATCACTAGAGTTTTTCTTCTTATTTTGGTATTTCAGGTTAGAGTTGTGGAAATTTCTCATGTATGGTGATTGTAAGATGCCATCTTCATCGATCGATTTCCCACACTTTATCATTGTACTGGCTTTCTTGAGCTTTAAAGTTTTCTTTGGCTTTCTTGGCTTTCTTTGTCGCTTATGAACATATGTTTCTTTATGCAGAGCTTCCAAGCACGCTTGCCTCCCTGAGCCAGGCACTGAGCAAGAGCTTCGGAGAACTCATGGTGCTAGACCAGGTGTATAGAGAAGCTGTGTTGCCGTGCAGAGAGGGGCCCAACTGGCTGAAGGCTTCACATCTGTTTGGTGTTCTTTACAGAACCCTGGTGCGAGTGGATGGCCTCGGTGGGGTGATGAGCCAACGGGAGGTGAGTCGCTGGTGTATTGAACAGTATTACGTGAAAATTCTGTTGATTGCACTGACTTATATTTGCCGCTTACTATTCTTACATAGCCGGCTTGACCACATTACCGGAAGCCCCGTTTATATCCGAGAGTGCTTCCGTCTCGTATCATTATCATAACTAATATCAACAAAGCTGGTGCACGGAGTTGTGGATTAATTCAGAAAAGTTCCATCACTAATCTCAGTTAGTCTCTTGTAGTGATAATACCAGGAGAGGTATAATATAGAGTACCAGAAGTGGAATCGGGAACCAGGAGAGTATAATATAGAGAACCAGAAGTGGAATCGGGAACCAGGAGAGTATAATACCAGGAGTGTATAATAGTCGATGGTACAAGGAGTTGTGGATTAATTCAGAAAAGTTCAATCACTAATATAATCTCAGTTAGTCTCTCATACTGTTGTAGTGATTCTAGGGGTGATCACACAGGCATTTCCCTGCGCGTAGCCGCGCAGGGTATTTATTTGTTTCCTGGATATTCTCCGCCAACCCCTAGGAAGGGGCCGAGGAACGTACTGGTGTTGACTACGGAGAGAGTGTCGTGGCTCCGGGGTGTACGTCGGCGTGGTCCGTTATGTATGCGTGATCGAGCAAGGAAACACTCCACAGTATGGACGTTTAACGTGTCTGACGAGCGCCAAACATTTATTCCACAATCAACGTGCAGGTGCATGTACATAGAGACGTAGCCTGGTGAATATATACAATCAATCCCACAGCACTTCGAGAGCGTGCATAGAACTCATACTGACTGTAATGACTAGACTATGTCCGGTAAGAGAGGTTGCTCCGACAAGCGGTGCAGGCCTAACTCCCGTTCAATATGTCGTGGTCAAGGCACGTATGGTCAGGTCTCCGACATGCGGAGCGTCTGGGCCAGGTGTCGTGACTCACCGTGTCAGCTATGTTCTGTCGTGGACGCGGCTCCGACGGCTCTTATCAGCTAGTGGCTCCGTTACCGGTGCCTCTTCGCAGATGAAGTGCCTTGCCGTGGTCAGCGGACCCGTATTTATACTAGCTGCTGGTACTACTTTATAGGTACATAGCATATTCGTGCGCCCGGTGCGCTCACCCGTAAAGTAAATAGGCTGACCCTGTGGTCAGCCTTTGCATTTCTGCATTGCTGTGTATCTTACTTTATTGAAACCGCTATTGCTTAATAATTGCGTTAGAATTTTATAGATATGAAACTAAATGATTCGTAGCATCTATTGCCCTCTATAATTTCCCTCGGTTAAAATCTCTGACTAGTCCCGCAGATATAAGATGGCCGCGCCCATGGCGGTAGTTGTAAATATACATCATTTTGTTACTTTGATTTATACACATTACCTAGCCAGTTTATTAGCTAGGTACAAGTTTGATATCCGAAATCCCTACACTGTCATAGTGATAATATAGAGTATTATTTAGTGAACCAGGAAGATATTACCATAGGGAACCAGGAGTGTATAATAGTCAATGGTACAAGGAGTTGTGGATTAATTCAGAAAAGTTCAATCACTAATATAATCTCAGTTAGTCTCTCATACTGTCATAGTGATAATATAGAGTATAATTTAGTGAACCAGGAGGATATTACCATAGGGAACCAGGAGAGTATAATACCAGGAGTGTATAATAGTCAATGGTACCGGTACTTGTAAGGAGTTGTGGATTAATTCAGAAAAGTTCCATCACTAAGCTCAGTTAGTCTCTCGTAGGGATAACACAATGGTAACTATGAGGAAAAGTGATGATAGTTATTTTGTCTTCCTGCATATGCCAGACAGAATCTTCGGAAGTTAGATTGACAGAGTGTTACTCAAGCACCACCACTACAGTGCATGAATGTCACTGGATGAACCAGAAATACAAATATGTAGCAGTTAATGCCAGTTATAACCCTAATTATAGCTGTGCTATAAATATATATATATATATATATATGCTCATAGCAGACACATCTGTGAATATAGGAGTGTATTGGTTTGCATTATAGTGTGTAAGAGTCTGATCTGTGTGACACCTGATAGTGGGGTCTGTATTAGGGCTGTAACGATCCACCGAAATCGAATCGGATCGCGATTCTCTTCTCTCGATCTGATCCTCGATATTTTTCCCCGTATTTTCGATTCCACTTCGATACCACTTTTTTCCTCCAATAGATGGCGGCACTACGCTATATACTGTGGAGTGTTACTGTTACTCGCCAATTTTACTCAGCGACTGTTCAGTGTATATATACCATAGAGATGTATAAATAGAATACATCTCTATGATATATACTCTAGACTCTCTAGTCTATTCACCATTTAGTATTCATTGGCAATTTCTAATAATTTATTATTGCAAAATAATGAAAATATAAAAAATAAGGTAACATTTCAATATTTTGGGAATCGAATCGAGGGAATCGAATCGAGAGGCTAATATCGAAAACCGGATCGAATCGAGAGGCTTGTGTATCGTTAAAGCCCTAGTCTGTATGCGTTAAGTAGATTTTACCCCATGGTACACACATTGCAATAACAAATATACGAGGCATTACATTTGTAGGATGCATCTAAACCGTATTCGTGTTTAAAAAAAGCGTCTAATGTCGTTTATTGTCGTTTAGCATGGATATTGGGATAGAGAAAGACACTTGGTCAGGTCGTATATGATAAGCAGTCTAGAATTTCTATGTGATTCCATAAACCCATATGGCAAATTTCCCTACGGATTTCTTATTTGGCATCCTAAGTAAAAATAAAATGTGTTCAGGTTTGTTATCGAAAACTAACAGATTAACATGCAATGTCCCTTATAGTTGTGTGTGAATCAATAAATGAAACTCACTATATAGTCTTGGCTATTCTGAGATACAAACCGATTTGCAGAATACATCGAGAAAATTTCTAGAAAGATGCTATACATAAAGCGATATATAAAAATACATGTCGCACATAGAAAACCACTCTTACTTACGTGTGCATCATAGTTATATTTCACTGGAATCGAGACGGATTGTAATTTGAATTTATTTGTTGGTCTATGAAGCAAAAATATGTATCGATTAGTCCTCAGACATGGGGGATAGCAGTCGTTGAATAATCCACTGCTTTGTACACAACACCAACATCTCTGTACATTACAGATTAGCAGGGCTGACTTAAGTCAACTGGATAAGGGGCAGTCATGGCTGCGAAGTAATCTCCTACCACCCTACTGGACCATGGATGTAGATGGCTGCTCACCACAGAGCAAGCACAGAGCAAATCTCTTGAACATGCAGTGGTGAGGCACCTAGTAATGCTTATAGGGTCCATGTCCCCCAGGGTACTGCCGGAACGTACCCTGGGTACGGTCCGGTATACCGGAACGTACCCTGGTAACTATCTGATATGGTTAGTGTTCGGGTTAGGGTTCGGTGTAGGCGTAGGCGACTCCCTAGACTCGTTAGTGGAGTAGGCGAGGTACGGTCCGGCATATTAGATGGTACCAGGGTACGTTCGGGTATACCGCGGACCGTACCCAGGTACGTTCCGGCAGTACCCAGGAGACATAGACCCTGGCAGCCATAGTAACAGGTTTACTTTGTGATCAAATTGAGGACTTGATTTACATTGATCCACATTTTGCACACGGTTATTTATATATCAGACCCTAGACGACTGCAGCGGATATCCGCGCGAAGCGCTTCAAACGCCACCTAGTGGCGCACTTACTCAACAATCGCTGCTTTACCAACGCAAGTATTCCGGTCCTTCTTAGGGTTAGCTTGAAGCCGGCTTTTCGCTGATTGAGCAGTTCTGCCATTGCCGAGGGATCTCCTACCCAGTTATGTAGAGACGGGCCTAGAAATGCTGGCAATTTTCGTAGGCTACTAGGCGCGCTTCTTTTCTGTAATAACGGAGTTTTTTGTTGACATTGTAACAATATATATGCGCTCAATGCGTTAGCGTTGAGTGGCTGAGTTTAGGGATACGACATTATAGGAATTCGTCTTCGCTATTCGTAATAATTACAGTTAGTTTCATTGTCACTGTTATCTGCTATTGTATCTCTGCATAGTTACACTCCTCATCAAACTAAAGATTTCAACATGGTGGCAGAAGTGCCTAACTGTGAAGCAGTGGGAAGCTTGAACTGTAAGTGTTCCGTAAGAATTCACGTGGCAATTCCGGGTGTCTCGCGACTAGGACGGCCCAAGGATAGAGAACATGAGTCGCCAATAAAAACCAATGTTGCCTCGTACTCGTGATTCTACAGGCAGCCTAGGCATATATATATGATATCTAACACGATCCCCAATGCGAGCATCGAATTGTATCCACACCTACGAATACTTCTATTACTACAAGTACATGTTACAATAATTACTAGTAGTAGTAAGTACTACTAGTACTAGTACTACTAAGTACCAGGACTACTAGTACTACAGTATACTAGTACTAGTACTAGTTACTACCAGGAGCTAATAATGACAAACTGTGTTACCGGTACTAGTAAGTTACTAATATTAATAATGACGACTCCTGTACGTTAGTGTTACTAGTACTCCTACTAAATATAATAAAATATAATGCTAACTAAATACGAATCTATTTACTACCAACTTCTTCATGGTTTCTATAGCATAGGCCTACTCTCTTGACCTATTTATTGCCGAGTTTCCTGTAAATTCCGTCGAAATCCTAGCGTCCAACGTACGCTGCCGGCTGCCATTGCTCTCGCGGCGCGATGTTGCAGCGCTTACAACTAATATATATAAGCAGGTAGGAAAGCGTGCTGCAATTCGCTCGACGCTCACTTCATTTGAAACTTTCACAGCACGAATACACATTCAACAGCTTCCATCTTTTTTTCTCCTTGAACAACAGTATCACTTGTTATAAAAACATAAGTCTCTGTTCGTAAACGCTGTGTCATGCGAAATCACACAGACTGACGAAATTCTGGCGTTCGCGAACCTTGCCCAGTAATGGAAATGGCTGTCAGCCGCAACACTGCAACGTTTTTTGCAACGTTCCAATGCGCGGGCTCGTACGCGAGTTGGAAAGCAGTGCGCCGCCTGCGCGCCGCCTATAGCCCATAGACTGGCACTCGCTTCACCTCTGCGCTTAGCTTAGTCACTCGATGGGTAATCGAGGTGGGAGTAAGTCCCAGTCTATATAGCCTTTGTCCTTGCAGCCATTTCCATTACTGGGCAAGGTTCGCGAACGCGAAAATTTCGTCAGTCTTTCTGTGATTCGCGTGACCACAGCTAGGTTACGAACAGAGACATTATGTTTTTATAACAAGTGAACCTGTTCACGTCCAAATGTCTGCCCTCTGTGTCCCCACTAAAATTGTGGACTGTTCGCTGGCAGCTATGATGCGTGCGCCGACGGCATAAGCATTCGCGGCGGCACGGATCCATAGCTGCCAGCGCTGCATACTGTCGTAGGACGTTCCCGCGCGCGCGTGCGCCTTGCCGCGGAACTGCGGGCGCAAGATCTGCGCTCAGCAATTCGGTCAACACCTTCTTTCGGCAACGCTTCTCTAGTATCCCGTCTCATCTGGATGCACTTTTCTTTCATTGATATTGTTGATAGTTTTTCCGATGTGAACGTTTACGTGAAAATATGCTTGCCATAATGCAAGAATAATCTTCTCCATTTTTAGCACTGCACACAAGCCATACACGTGCATTGCAATATATAACTTCTTAATTGTCAGGCTATGTCATTTTTGTCTTGTTCAGTAGAAACTAACTGGTATTTGGTATTAACATTCTACGAAGCAAAACAGATTATATTGGCTTTATTTGATGTTTAATCAAGAATTACGATAGAACAAATGCTGATCCGCTTAGAGGTTCAAAATACCTAAAAATTCCTGTTCACCGCAAACTGCGTTTGACTTGCCCCCCCCCCCCTTTCCCTAGGCAAACGAGTTAGCTACAACCCTAGTCCTTTTTTCATTGTGTAAACGATGAGTAATTGTATAACAATATCGATACATTGTTATTGCGATTTATGTGGACATGCTATTGTGGACCCATATTGTATGTTCTTATTTACATTGCTGTGAGTAGTTTGTTTAATGTAAAAGTGTTTTAATATATTATCTGCAGCATCGGTGGTTCAGTGGTAGAATGCTCGCCTGCCACGCGGGCGCCCGGGTTCGATTCCCGGCCGATGCAACTGTTTTTGTTGAATGTTTTTTTTTTATTTGACGGTCTCATTAAGCAATGACGGCGATATTGTAGAGTCAGCAATGATTGATTCTATAGTTACTATATCTTATCTTGCTGTCATGTATTTTAGTAAGATGAAAATCAATTGCGTAAAATTAGTTCTGTCATATTTATTTGTACAGGATGCAGCACGCGAGGTCCACCTCTCAATTTTGCCGAGTCGATGATGGAAGCGTTAGACTCAGTGAGCGCAGGTCGTCAGGGAACGTGTGGGATGCTCGCTGGAGTTACGGACCTATTTGTCTTCCACGCATCTGAAGATGGATATACAGTTAACAACAGCGTACTACTGGGTCACCTCACCAAGGTATAGCGAGTCATGTGCACTCGTCTAGAGGGTACTCACATCGTGCGTTTGTTATTTTTTCTTATATATTGTGTGGTTAATAATTCTCTTGTAATACATATATGTTAATAATATTTAAATTTAATTAATATTTTAATATTTTAATTATATTTAATTGAAAAATTCTGTGTTAACATAATTTCTATGTATTCTGATCCACACATGCCACCGGACCAATGGATATATATATATATATATATACATGCATGCGCACATGCACGCACACACATATATACGATTACGTATATAATGTGCAGTAATATTGGCAGGAGAGCATAGGCAATATGCTGCAGACATTCACCGCAGTACGGTGCGGCCGTGAGACGACTTCAGGAGTTTGTGGATGCCACCGTCTCTGCCGCCAGCAGCGATGGGCGGCTATTGCGAGAGTACGGCCTGTCTTACATACCAAGCCTTCAGCTGTGCCTTGTCTCAATACCTTCAGCAATTTCGTAAGGAACTCACGAAGCTGGAAACTGATCTGATCAAGCAAGGTATCGCTAGAGTTTTCCTACTTATTTGGTATTTCAGGTTAGAGTTTTGTGCGTATCGTCCCATCGCATATCTTGGAATTTCTCATGTATGGTGATTGTAAGATGCCATCTTCATCGATCGATTTCCCACACTTTATCATTGTACTGGCTTTCTTGAGCTTTAAAGTTTTCTTTGGCTTTCTTGGCTTTCTTTGTCGCTTATGAACATATGTTTCTTTATGCAGAGCTTCCAAGCACGCTTGCCTCCCTGAGCCAGGCACTGAGCAAGAGCTTCGAGAACTCATGGTGCTAGACCAGGTGTATAGAGAAGCTGTGTTGCCGTGCAGAGAGGGGCCCAACTGGTGAAGGCTTCACATCTGTTTGGTGTTCTGTACAGACCCTGGTGCGAGTGGATGGCCTCGGTGGGGTGATGAGCAACGGGAGGTGAGTCGCTGGTGATTGATCAGGATTACGTGAAAATTCTGTTGATTGCACTGACTTATATTTGACGCTTATTATTCTTACATAGCCGGCTTGACTCCATCACCGGAAGCCTCGTTTATATCCAAGGGCACTGCCATCTCATAACATTATCCTAACTAATATCAACAAGTTGGTGGCACGGAGTTGTGGATTAATTCAGAAAGTTAACTCACTAATATAATCTCAGTTCGCCTTTCATACTGTCATAGTGATAATATAGAGTATAATTTAGTGAACCAGGAGAATATTACCCATAGGGAACCAGGAGAGTATAATACCAGGAGTGTATAATAGTCAATGGTACCAGTACTTGTAAGGAGTTGTGGATTAATTCAGAAAAGTTCCATTACTAAGCTCAGTTAGTCTCTCGTAGGGATAACACAATGGTAACTATGAGGAAAGGTGATGATAGTTATTTTGTCTTCCTGCATATGCCAGACAGAATCTTCGGAAGTTAGATTGACAGAGTGTTACTCAAGCACCACCACTACAGTGCATGAATGTCACTGGATGAACCAGAAATACAAATATGTAGCAGTTAATGCCAGTTATAACCCTAATTATAGCTGTGCTATAAATATATATATATAGCATAATATATATATGCTCATAGCAGATCACATCTTTTTGGGGGTGAAAAAAATTTATAAAAAGGAAAAGTGTATTGGTTTGCATTATGTTGTAAATGTTTTAAATCATAACTCTGCTAACAGGTGGCGCTAGTGCTATGGATTTTCCTGGAAACCAGCCGACCCTACATAGAGATGATTGACAGCTGGATTAGTAAAGGAGATCTGTGTGACCCTTACCTCGAATTCATCATACAGAGGTGTGTAATTGACTGTTAATAGCTATCGTAAATCTTTGTTCGTAAACTTTATTAGATGACCGTAACGTGTTGAAAAGGTTTGAAATTAAGGGCAGCAAGCAGCTAAGTTTTTATGCCTACAGGGGTCAGTGTGCTGCCTGCTCTGAATGCCAGCAATACTTGCTGACAAGAAATTTCTAATAAACCAAACTAAACATATACACCAAAGCTACAGGGGATTTTTTGTCACAACTGTTTATGAGTTTTTTAGGGTTGTTTTATTTTAATTCATGTTGACCCTATGTTACCGTCCGTACTTCACTCGATGTGCAGCTTGGGTTAAGCATGGGGGAGTATAATTTGAATTAATGAATCGGGGGAAATGTGCTAAGAGGCCAAACCAGTTTCCTTATGGACACAGAGACAATAGGACTGTGCTGTTGGAGTGGGAGAGAGTAGAACGGCTATGATTTACTAATGCTTCTGCCTGGGTAGTAAGCTTGCTGCTTGCTTTTATCTGTGGCAGCAAGTACTTACTACCTGGCATAAAAGTTCATTCCTAACCCTGGTAAAGTACAGGGTGCGAAATTAACGCGAGTCCAGAGTCAAATACTCTCTGCTTTACTGTCGGACTCCCTGATTTGACATATGCAGGAATCCGTGTGACTCCCTGAAAATTCTGCTATATACTAAGTTATTACTAACTAGTTCGTTCCAGAGCACGGCCTCGCGGTATTACCGTATTTTTTCAGCAAATGTCCAAAGAAAATTTGGCAGACGTGCAACCGCATCAGACTCCTGACCGCATGAATCTTCAAAATAAGCACATGCGTTATTGTTAATATCTTTAGTTTTGAACCTTAGACTGCGGACTCCCTTATTTTGCTGCGGACTCCCTCTTTTTAAGGGCAGGCTTTTTTAAGGCTCTTTTTAAACTTTTTTGTTCAAAAGTTAATTTCTACCCCTGAAAGCATGTACACTGCAGCACTGCTCCTATGCCGGAGTTTAAGTATCATGACCGGATGACCAGCCTAATGAAGTTTTATATCGAGCTGTTCCTCTCGTAGAAATGGTAATGTTGGACCACAAGAGCAACGCTTCTGGCAGGAGGCCTTCACGGTATACGACAGCAAGGTGCCCCCTTCTTCCCGTGGCAAATATGACTGGTACTGCGGTGCTGCTTTGCTAGAGCCCATCCTGAAACAGGTACTGTGATGACGTCATTTCTAGCTTGCTCAGAAACGAATCTGCTATAATTATGGCTGTGATTAGATTAATTTAGGATTAAAACGATTAGATAAAATATATTAAGTTATCGGTTTTTAGCTCAGCTGACGAGGTCAGATGCAGCTTGTAGAATCGCATGATTGACCGTCCGTCCGTCAACAGTTGGGCACAAATCTTAACCGCTCGACGTACGGTCTTGATATTCGGGATGTCGGGGGAGGGGATGTCAAATTTGGGGGTCAAGGGTCAAAGGTCGAGCTGTGTCAATGGAGGGAATATTTCCCCCTTAACTTAAGGTATAGGAGGAAATACGGAATTGCGGCACAAATCTCAACGGCTCAACCTACGCTCTTAATATTCGATGAATAGTGTGATGGGGAGGTAACCCATCACCAGCGTGAAATTGGAGGTCACAGGTCAAAGGGCAGTGGGGGAATGGTCAGATATCAGACATTTTCTGAGGACATGGTCTAACGGACCAAGTGCAAAACATTTTTGTTTCAGCGCTGACCTACCGTTTTTATCACTTTATTGAAAGGACCATGAAATCTACTTTCCGCTGACGAGCGAAGAGTAAGTGTCTGATAACCTTTTGGCCCTCAAGAGGAGGGTTAGACATGGTTTTGTTGACTGTTAACAAAGGACTGAACTGCTTTTGCTATTAGAGCCTCCTCCACTCGCCCCTCCCCCTCCACCTCCTCCCCACCACCACTACGCTCGCGCTCGACGCATATCCATGATAACATGTTAATACAGCGAAGTCATTAAAGTTACACAGAGCTCTGTCTCTTTATTACTGTACTACCAGTAGGTATAGCAAAGCCTATCATAGATTTTAGATCTGTATTAGTAGTATCCTAGATATATGCTCTGAGCGCGAATGCGGTGGCAGGAGGGCGCACTTGATTCGGTTGCCAGTGAGTTTATCAGAAGAATACCTGGCTACAGTACATGTCAGTTGAGCGCTGTCGCTCTGCGGCACTTGTTCTTCTAAATCATTTGCTTATGAAAATGTGCTGCACATCGTTGAGAAAATAGTATGTTAATTTAAGTTTAAACAAGATTTTTGCTTTAAAGAATGGTAATTCGAAAACTAGCTGAAATGTTAATTACACATTTTAAGAAAGATTTAGCAGTTTTAACAACTAATGCAATGTGCTTTCATTTTAATGAAAATTTAAAATTTGAAATTTTGACAATTTAAAATTTAAAAACAATTTAATTTTCAGGTCATCCTGGCAGGCAAGTCAGTTGAACTTCTGGAATCATTGGGTCATCTACAAAACATTTCTCAGTGCTCCGGTTACGAAAAAAACTGCAGCTCTAGCAGCAGTGTAGGCACAATCTACCAGACATTCTGCCAGACTGTGAAATCTAACTGCCGAGGCTGTGATAAACAATCCGCAGACGACTGTGGTGCTATTAAAGTTAGCGAGGATTTTAACCCCAGCAGCCTTACTTCCGACGTGCGCAAGAGAAACACAGAATGTTTGGATGGAAGCTTAGAGCGATGCCTCCAGCAAGACAGTTCTATCGATTCATTGCTGAGGCATAACTTCGAGAGTGTTTACAACGCGAGAAAGCTGCCGGTCGTGACCACTACCCAGCATTTACCAGAATGGTTAGTGAGGAATAATCATGTAGTGCAACTGTTGTCTAGCAGCAGCTGTCTGTCTGACTGTTGTCTGACTCTCTGTCGTTCTGTTCGTGTGTGTGTTGTCTGCAGTGCTTGTGTCAGCAAACACGTACTGTGGCCATAATCACGAGTGAACTTCAACACGACGGTGTGGAATGATTGTTTTGAAATGGGAATCTTATTAATTAATATTTATTAATTTAATAATTACAAATAAATAATAATTATTTAATAATAATTAATATTTATTATTAATTTTAAAGTGTGTCTTGTCAATTTTCATTGTGCACCCACAGGTTGACGGACTATCAGCGAAACACATTAGAGCCAGTTGGCGTACTGCTACAGAACGCCCTCTATCCATGCATCAAAGAGGCCTGTCACGTTGTCTGTAGAAGACTGGTTGACATACTCAAGTCTGAATATAGTCTGCTGCACTATCTGTCAGCAATGAGGGTAGGATTAGTTAGTTTTCCTTGTAGTATTTGTAATAAATGTGGTTTCCTTGCTATTATGGTGAGCGTTACATAATCGACTCAGTGTTTTTTCATGAGCATAAATAATAACTCAATTTGGTGTGTTGATAAAAGTCATACTGACAGAGCGATTATTTTACAGAGATGAGTTTTTTCAGAAGCTAGAAAACAGTGGACTATTCCGTGTAATGTAATAATTCATACTAATGTATGTTTAAATGGTGTTACCGGTTCATCACGCATCACTGAATGTTTGTTAAGAAAATTTAGATAGTCCTATCATGCTATATACACACAATGGTACAATTTGTTACAGAAATTCTTCTTACTGCAAGCCGGTGATACTATGGACGACTTTTATTCTGAGCTCTTTGATAAGGTACGTATTGCAGTTGGTTTTCCATACACACAATTACATACGATACTGTATAAGCTGTATTTTTCGCATACAGATATTTTCGCGAATTCAGACTTGACGGACAATTTCACGAGTGGTTAATTTCGCGGTCAATGAATTATGTATTATTCGGTATTATTCGGTATGAATGATTCGCGTGTTGTTATTTTCGCGGTCGGGGACGCGTTCGCGAAATTCGCGAAAAATAAAGGGATCGTTTACTCTAGGTTCTAGGGTTATTTTCAGTTAATTTATGTTAAAATTACGCTACATAAAAAGTTTCATGGTTCAATCACCATTAGAAATATTATTAAAAAATGTTTTAAAACTAACGACTACAGTTTGATTACAACGACGGTGGCGCCACTCAAAGCGCACAGTCTGATAAGTTGCGCAAAACCACTTTTCAGCCAAGGGCTACAGACCGAGGGTTTCTTATTTATTAATTTAAAAGCAAAAGGATTGTAATATCTTATAAACGACATATAGTTTCAGTTATATTATGGATAAATTTGTCCTAAAATGAACATCGTTCGGTTAAATAGCATTTAGGTATGAATATAATTTCACCTTTGTGATTAGCCCTCGGTCTGTAACGTGCAAAATAAATTGGCAAATATGCAACTTTTTCAGGGTGGCAGCACGGTCGCGGGTGTCATGGTGCCATTCAAATTTCGTAGCGTTGATGTGTAATTAATTATAACAATTAAATTAGGTATCTGGTAACAAATACGTGTGGGTATAGATAATTTGTTATACAATAAGTACAGTTGTATGCAGTAAAATCCTAGTCTACTATCCCTTTAAACCACCGTGAAATATACAGCTTATACAGATAGGTATATGCAATTGGGGGTTTCAATATTATCGAAATAATGTTGTTAGTGTGCCATATTTGGTTGCTAGATGTACAATTTTTGTATAGGTAAGGAATTTTTCGCCCACCACTCACCTGTTAATTAACGCACTTTGTTTTGATCTGCTGTTACTGTCTTGCAGATGACAAGTGGTGAGAATTGGAGAGATGTGTCATTTCTCAACATGCTGCTGCATGAAAGTCTATACTCACGTTATCCTGAGGAGGTGACCAGGTAAAACACGCTGCCTGCGATTCTTGATGATTCTATCTGCAGTGTTTCCCCTGGCCAAAAAGGTCTGTGAGGGGGTAAAAATTATTTTGGTGTGTTTGCACGTTTCGAGGTCCTAGCAAAGCGAGCACCGCAGGTCAAGCTAGGGCGGTCGGGGGGGGGGGCGTACCCCCAGACATCTTTTGAAAAAATGGTGCAATTTGGTGCATTCTAAGCTATTCTGAACACGTATGAGATTTTCGTCAGAGAGACGGTTTTTTGGACAAATTTCTGTGTGGCGGGTGAGTATTTGAGCGAGGCGGGCCGCCGTGTCAATGCATGGGTAACACTGCTATCCGCATGTACCATCATGTAACACTAGCCAAGTTTTGGCTGTGTGTGAGACTGAGTAGGGTTTTACCCATGAATATTAGAAGTCATGTCAGGCAATTGGGCAATTCATCCCCATTTACTCTAATAGGAGACTATATTACGCGTGTCGTCAGCGGTCCCGCTACACAGGTGAACTCGATCAGTTCGGAGACGTATACATCAAGCAGTGAAAACACAGCATGACCGTGTTGGGATTTGTCAAAAGTAAACGCAGCTAAAGATTAAACCACGTAGGAGGATTTATGGGATATTGTGCATTACCGTCAGCTTTGAAAGCATGTCAGACCCGACATGCGTTGAAAGCCTGGGGAGAAACATGCAAAGGTTGCTGATTTCTGTCGGATTCTGTATGTTAGGGTTACAGTGGATCTGGAAGAGCTGGACTCAAAGACAGAGAGACTACCAATATATGCCCTAAATGGTCTAAAGCTCATCTACCAGGCAAGTACATGATGTTCCGGTATTTATGAGTATATTACCGATAGCATGTGCTATTATTTTACCGTGTTAATTATAACCATTTCTGAGTTTATATGAATTATTGAGTCTCGTTCAATCATGATGTAATGTTTCAGAAGAATCGTGCCTTCACTGATTTTCTATTAATATGACTATGTGTGATTTTGTTATTCTTATTTTAGCTGCCTTGGCCAGTTGATGTAGTGATCCATGACAACTGCCAAACCGTATACAATCAAGTCTTTACCTTTCTGTTGCAAATTAAACGTGCCAAGTACAGCCTGGACATGCTGCGCTTTGAATGTGAGTAGTATATATATATATATATATGTGTGTGTGTGTGTGTGTGTGTGTGTGTGTGTGTGTGTGTGTGTGTGTGTGCGTGTGCGTGTGCGCGTGCGCGTGCGCGTGTGCGTGTGCGTGTGCGTGTGCGTGTGCGTGTGCGTGTGTGTGTGTGTCAATTTTGTTATAAAAAAATATATCTAGCATTTCTAAGTTAGCCATTCCCATGCCCACAGTGACATTTCTGCTGGACATTTATGTCATATGCAGCATGTCATATACATTTCTAATTTAATATTTTTTAAAGAACTATATATACTCTGCAGGTCTTTCAAGTCGTTCCCGGTTTGATGGGAAAAGCGGTGAGGAGGAAGAAGAGTTGGGTGCTAGAGAGATGACAACGGAAGCTCAGCAGAAACAAGAGCAGAATCTCTCTCACAGGATGATTCTGTTTCGCATGAAACTGATGCATTTTGTCAACAGTCTGCACCAGTATGTCATGACAAGGGTAAGATGCGAAATGTAGAATTGCAGTCTTCAGCTTTGTTTCTAGGAGAGCTTCCGTTCTTGCTAATTACAATTAATGTGATGTGTATACTATATATATACTAGTGTTATTCCTGGTAGAATGTGTGGAAGGGGATCGCAAAATAAGAGATAAACTTGAAGAACATATTGTGGATAAAACGACAAGTGCTCAGCAGACGATTGGTTTATAGGGTGGTAAGCAAAAGGCGAGGGAAGTGGGAAGTAATTGATGTATGATAATATAGATAGTAAACGTACAGCCGAGAGAGAAGGGACTTAGAAAAGGGTCACAATGAAAGATAAAGTATAGATGCAAAGGAAAGATATAAAGGGAAGATAAAGTCTGTGAAGGAAAACATGGGAGAAGATAAGATGCATTGCCAGGTTTGCAAAGAAGATCTAGAAGTAAAAAATAGAAATAATTTCCCATCGGCAATTGCTTCTCCTCTAATTTCTGGTCTCGGGTCGATTTGCGTAGATTCTGCACAGTACTGAACAGGAGTTCGACCAAGAGCTTCGAGAAGCTGCCGATCTAGAACAGATTATGGCCATTCACAACACGTACGTGCGTCGCATTTACGACCGCTGCCTGCTGCACAAGAAGGTCGCCTTCATAAAGGAAGCTGTCATGAAAGTCCTCAACCTGACCCTGCTGTTTCAGCACCGATGGAACGCAGGCGTGCACAAACTCAGGTGCGTTTATGCAGCTCGCAACTCGCGTCTATTTGTGGCTCGTACCAGCTGATTTTATGTGTGACATCAGGGTTTAATCATGACAAATAATAACAGTTAATAATAATGACATATGAATTCATATTTATCTTGTGTTAAATCCAAGAAATTAACTTACTATCCAAATTTTCTATCTCCCTTTGGGAAATCTTCATCAGGATGTCGATCTCGATAGTAAGTGAATTTCTTGGATTTAATACAAGATAAATATGAATTCATAGTTTTCAACGAAATCCAATGAACTTATTTCATTCAATAATAATGACATTCGTCATGATTAACCCCTGGTGACATGTTTGTGCTAATGATTACTTATTGCTGTGAGCAGGTTGAAGCAGTGAAATGAAGTTAATCGTGAATTGGTTAAGGTTAGTCGCAAAAGTCGTCGTGCGCAATACTGAAAACTCGAATTATTCTTCCATCTCCAACTTCATCATTTTCCATTATCTACCCGTTAACTAAACTACTTCATTAATTAAACGTCCCTAATTATTGATCAAGTTGTTGTCAACGAGCAAGAAGAAATTGATAGTTCATGTGTCTTAGTTTTAAGTTGCATTCAAGTTATGTAATTGAAAAGATATTTTCCATGGAAAAGATGGAAAATATGGAAAGGTATGGATAAAGATTCATATCTTGGTCATAAAGCTGCCAATGTAACACAGTTATACATAGTATCAGGATTGAATAATAATAGATAAGAATATTTGTGAATATGAATAATCTATTATTATTCACTCCTGATAGTATATTACATGTGAACTGATGGTAACTTTTCCGTTGGGCTCGCTTTTTTATCATATCTGTACTTGGTTTTGCTTTGTTTTTCATTTATTTGAATTGCATTTGTTTGTGTGTAGACAGTAATGTGTAGTATAACTGCAGTGTCATGTTCATTAACCAGTGGCGGGTCGACGTTGAACGTTTCTCTCTGTTTGCTGCAGTTTATCGGTTATAGAAGATATGGAAGCGGAATTTGGGCGTTGTCACACGTTCTTGTCTTCGTTCCTTAACAACGTTGTGAAGAGACGTTCGTTTGTACACCGTAAGTTTTTAGTTTATTTCCTCACCGCAAAGTGCGTCGCACTTGGTTGGAATGAGATCGACAGTGAATAAATTTGTCGCGTCATTTCAGTCGATTAGATTTAACTGTATCTCATTCGAGTGATTGTCAAATAAAATTTATGAACGGTACAAAATGTTCTCACCCACACGTGTATATTGAACTCCCTCATATTATTATGTCAAATAATACACATATTTGAATTTACATCTGACAATCTGACTATTTAAATCTTACAAAATTTACACACTCATGCCTGCTTTTGATAACAGACCGTTGTCTAAATCAACCGTTGCTTTTTTTCTGTTTTGCAGTGGAATCATTCGCTTTTGCTCTTATCAGCTCTAATCAGATGTGACCTTTGACCTCCTTCCTTCACATGCGGGTACACTGGGACAATCACTTGAATTCTATCCAGAGCCGATCGTACTTCTTGAATCTTTTTCTCATGATAGTTGATGCTTCTTGATGATGATGATATTTCTTCATAATACTTCTTGATTTTATGTGGAAGTTATCACCGTGTTGCATGATGAGTGATCATTGGTCATTTCTGAACTAGATCGATTTCTATGCTGAATTAAAGCTGTATGCGGTTCTACTGTAGCCATGTTTTTTTTACAAAATGGTATTAGCATTGGTAGACGCTCTTCGTTTCTAAGCTCAATTGAATCTAAGCTAACAGTGAAGTACGTACATTTGTAAATATACACATTCTAGATGGTAGCTAGTACATACTGTACATTTATCTGGACGTATTGCATCCATACGAAACACGTTATAACTTATTAGAACTGTTTATGTATTTAACTACTGTTGATGAGACAAAAACGTGTGATGTTGATTGAAAACGTGATAATGCATTAGTGGTAGCATTGTGACTACGATGAGTATCTTCTTACTATCTGTGACTTTTGTCATGGGTGGAAAGCATGTAAATAAAGGCGATGTTTACCATCCGATAATATTGTGTTCTGCATTACCTTGCTCCTTTAGAAAACCTGTACGATAATTCTGGTGAAATTGCATTTTCTTTGCAGAAGAAAAATATTCGAGCCAAAAAAATGCAATAATTCCCAGCAAATTTTATCAATTGTAAATAGTATGTAAATGGAACTTAAGTAATGAGATTTTCAAAATATTAAAACGTGGTATCGTAACACAGTTTGGATAGATATATTCGTTACTAGTTTTACTGGATGCGTTGTGTTCAGTATTCTTCGTCTAGACTTGCTTGGATTTGGTTATTGACGGAGAGATTAATGCGTCGAATGAACCGATGCATAAACTTTGGAAGGTCATGGATTTTACTGGATCACAGGGTTTGCTAGACGCGAAGCTCGCACTGTTAACACCTGCTGCTGACGCCAAACTCCTACAATCGCATCACCGTGTTTCGCAATCTTAACATTGTGATACACAACATACATATTGATTACACATTTGTGTACACATTGTGTACACATTGATTACACATTTACACATATTGATTACACATTTTGTGATGACATTGTCAATTATTGTAATTCGATCGTTTTTTTTTTGCCAATTCGTCAATTTTCGAGCTGATAATGTTACTACGCGAGTGCTTATAACATGGTAGGAATACGCACGCACGCACGCACACACACGTACATAGATATATGCGTGCGTGCGTGCCTTCGTGCGTGCGTGCGTGCGTGCGTGCGTGCCTTCGTGCCTTCGTGCGTGCGTGCGTGCGTGCGTGCGTGCGTGCGTGCGTGCGTGCGTGCCTTCGTGGTGCCTTCGTGGGCGTGGCGTGCCTTCGTGCGTGCGTGTCGGTGCGTGCGTGCATGGTGTGTGTGTGTGCGTGCGTGCGCGCGCGCGTGTGTGTGTGCGTGCGTGCGTACCTGCGTGTGTGTGTGTGTGTGTGCGTGCGTTCGTGCGTGCGTGTACACCCTAAGCTGGGTTTACACTGCCAACTTTGTGTTGGCGAATTGGCAAGTTCCGTTCAATGAACTGTGGCAGGCGCGTTTACATGCACTGAAGATCGCGAGTTGGCCAACCCGATCACGCCGCGAGCACCGCGTATGCCGTGGGCGGTAGATATAGGCCATA